ACAGAGGAACACTCACACCGGAAAATGCAACAGAAAGCACATTCAGTAAGTTCTCCGCACGCGTATCTTCATCGCCGCCTGGTCCTCCCCCTTGTACACTCCCCACAGAAAGCATATCGACGGTACACTTAGCTTGAGTCAAGCTTTGCTTGCTACATTAAATTAGCGGCGGAATAGGTACACCACGTGGCTAAGGACTCAAAAGTGGATCTTATGCGCATCATTTGCTGAGACGGACTTCAATCGCCTGCCTCACACCGCTTTTTCCCTGCTGCTGGGTCTCGTGTAGGAAGCAGGAGTTTGACTGGTCGGACTGAGTTACACTATCGATGACTAGCAACACTCCTGGAATGGCAGAAAGAGCGTCGTGAAACAAACAATTAGCAAGATTTTCCCATGAGTCAGTCAGCCTTTTGTTCGATTGTCGAGCTCGCGGTGCGCCTTGTAAATTATTACGGGGATGGTGGAAGGTAAAGATTGGGCAATTTGACGGAACACAATTCTTCTCTGCGGATCGTGCGGTGCGGACAGTTCAAAAGCGGGGATCATTTTTTGCTTGTCAGAAACGAAGCCGTTTGGCGAAGTGGTTCGCGGTTGCTAGTTTTGGCGAATGGGGGACAAGGTTCGTGCGACATCCAATTCGCACGACGGAATGATGTGGCGAAAGTTGAGACGCCTATAGTGTGTGCCTCGTTTGCGAACATAGAAAATGCTATTCTTGTCTCGTTAAGTTGAATATTTCACTGGATAATGCTATAACGTAGAATGTAGGCCAGCTTTTGCTTGACACAGGAGTCAGGACGCATCTGCCATGAATGTTTCTGAGCATATTTAACTTATTAGATCCGGAAGTATCAACTTGCAACGAAGAATTAATTAACCTTAGACTTTTACGGTATTAGAACATCGATTCAAGACCTCTGCTGTTTCATAGGTACTTCGTTTCTGAAAGATTCTACGGCTTCGTCTTAGCCCAGCAACCTGAAATGCAGTGCATGTCACTGCAGCACACTGCACTGCACCGCAATCCATTGCTCTGAACTGCATCGCTTACGGTAGCTTCTACAGCGGGCATCTTTTGAACGCCACTGTGAACGAGTGACGGGTGCAGCTCCAACGCTCGTCCGTCCGCCCTACCTGCCACTGGCTGATCCAATCACAATCCACCCGCTCCCACCCATCCCCACCTGCCTCCACTGCCTTTCCCTTCTCATTAATAGTCATCTTCTGCTCAGACTCTCCTGGCTTTGCCTGCAGATTTCCACTGTGCTTGTTTCTCTCTCGTTCTCTCATCAGCTGCCCATTTCCAACCCTGTACTCCTCGTCTTGCTACTGGTGATGGTCCTGACCCATCTGCTCCAAGGAACATTGCCCTTCATCATCGTCCTCTTCACTCCCACCCTGCTTCGACTCATTGCTCTCCTCCTCATTCTCGTCCTCCCCATCTTCATCTTCCTTGTCATCCCTTTCCTCCTCTTCTTTCTCCTCCCCTTTCTCCTCCCTCACTTCCAACACCCTCTTCCGCTTCAGCCTGCAACCCCGTCGCCACGTCAGCAAGCCAGGGAAGCGCCACGTCAGCAGGTGATGACCGCAGATGCCGCCCTCCTTCTCCCCCACGAGGATATACTCCCTCACTGACGCCTGCCGCCTCATGGCTGCCGTCCAGTCCACTCCCAGCGGCTGATTGCAAGGGCATGGGAGGGGGGAGGTGGTGGGAGCAGAGAGACAGTACTTACAAGGACACGTGCATCAGGGACTCTCTCACTGATGCCTGCCGTCCAATTCTTTCCACGCGGCTGATGTGACAGGCACAGGACGGGATACGAGGTGGGAAGCACAGAGCGATGTATATGTAGCACGTACCAGGACGTATATGTAGCACGACAACAAAATAGGACCATGCAGAACAAGATGCGGGCTCTTGATGGAATCAATGGCCTTTTTACTCTTGCGGGAAGCCAGGCATCCTCACCATGCAGCATGCCTCACCATCCAGCATGCCTCACCATCCAGCATGCCTCACCATCCAGCATGCCTCACCATCCAGCATGCCTCACCATCCAGCATGCCTCACCATCCAGCATGCCTCACCATCCAGCATGCCTCACCATCCAGCATGCCTCACCATCCAGCATGCCTCACCATCCAGCATGCCTCACCATCCAGCATGCCTCACCATCCAGCATGCCTCACCATGCAGCATGCCTCACCATGCAGCATGCCTCACCATGCAGCATGCCTCACACTGCAGCATGCCTCACCATGCAGCATGCCTCACCATGCAGCATGCCTCACCATGCAGCATGCCTCACCATCCAGCATGCCTCACCATCCAGCATGCCTCACCATCCAGCATGCCTCACCATCCAGCATGCCTCACCATCCAGCATGCCTCACCATCCAGCATGCCTCACCATCCAGCATGCCTCACCATCCAGCATGCCTCACCATCCAGCATGCCTCACCATCCAGCATGCCTCACCATCCAGCATGCCTCACCATCCAGCATGCCTCACCATCCAGCATGCCTCACCATCCAGCATGCCTCACCATCCAGCATGCCTCACCATCCAGCATGCCTCACCATCCAGCATGCCTCACCATCCAGCATGCCTCACCATCCAGCATGCCTCACCATCCAGCATGCCTCACCATCCAGCATGCCTCACCATCCAGCATGCCTCACCATCCAGCATGCCTCACCATCCAGCATGCCTCACCACCCAGCATGCCTCACCATCCAGCATGCCTCACCATCCAGCATGCCTCACCATCCAGCATGCCTCACCATCCAGCATGCCTCACCATCCAGCATGCCTCACCATCCAGCATGCCTCACCATCCAGCATGCCTCACCATCCAGCATGCCTCACCATCCAGCATGCCTCACCACCCAGCATGCCTCACCACCCAGCATGCCTCACCACCCAGCATGCCTCCCCATCCAGCACGCCTCGCCATCCAGCATGCCTCACCATCCAGCATGCCTCACCATGCAGCATGCCTCACAATGCAGCATGCCTCACCATCCAGCATGCCTCACCATCCAGCATGCCTCACCATGCAGCATGCCTCACCATGCAGCATGCCTCACCATCCAGCATGCCTCACCATCCAGCATGCCTCACCATCCAGCATGCCTCACCATCCAGCATGCCTCACCATCCAGCATGCCTCACCATCCAGCATGCCTCACCATCCAGCATGCCTCACCATCCAGCATGCCTCACCATCCAGCATGCCTCACCATGCAGCATGCCTCACCATGCAGCATGCCTCACCATGCAGCATGCCTCACCATCCAGCATGCCTCACCATGCAGCATGCCTCACCATCCAGCATGCCTCACCATCCAGCATGCCTCACCATCCAGCATGCCTCACCATCCAGCATGCCTCACCATCCAGCATGCCTCACCATCCAGCATGCCTCACCATCCAGCATGCCTCACCATCCAGCATGCCTCACCATCCAGCATGCCTCACCATCCAGCATGCCTCACCATCCAGCTTATCTCACCATCCAGCATGCCTCACCATCCAGCATGCCTCACCATCCAGCATGCCTCACCATCCAGCATGCCTCACCATCCAGCATGCCTCACCATCCAGCATGCCTCACCATCCAGCATGCCTCACCATCCAGCAAGCCTCACCATGCAGCATGCCTCACCATCCAGCATGCCTCACCATGCAGCATGCCTCACCATCCAGCATGCCTCACCATGCAGCATGCCTCACCATGCAGCATGCCTCACCATCCAGCATGCCTCACCATGCAGCATGCCTCACCATGCAGCATGCCTCACCATGCAGCATGCCTCACCATCCAGCATGCCTCACCATCCAGCATGCCTCACCATCCAGCATGCCTCACCATCCAGCATGCCTCACCATCCAGCATGCCTCACCATCCAGCATGCCTCACCATCCAGCATGCCTCACCATCCAGCATGCCTCACCATCCAGCATGCCTCACCATGCAGCATGCCTCACCATCCAGCATGCCTCGCCATCCAGCATGCCTCACCATCCAGCATGCCTCACCATCCAGCATGCCTCACCATCCAGCATGCCTCACCATCCAGCATGCCTCACCATCCAGCATGCCTCACCATCCAGCATGCCTCACCATCCAGCATGCCTCACCATCCAGCATGCCTCACCATCCAGCATGCCTCACCATCCAGCATGAAGGGCAGGAGGAGGGGGACTCACCATCCAGCATGCGATCACAATGTGGGGCTTGTACTCCGCAATGGCTGCTTCCGCATCACATGCTATCACTTCATCCCCTGCCTCCCCACGATCCCTGCCCTCCCTCAAAGAACCATTGTTCTCCCTGGAAGCACCACTGCCCGGCCTTGCAGCAGCACCGCCAGGCAGCCTACGAGGCATGGCATCAGTGGCGATCACTCTTGAAGCACCACTGCCTTCCCTTGAAGCACTGTCGGCACCAACAAGGCTGCAAGTGGCAGCATAACCGCCGGGCAGCCTACGGGGAATGGCATCAGTGGCGATCACTCTCATCCACAGCCCCTCCAACCTCACCCACTCACCGCCAGTCCCCCTCTCCTTGTCACTATGACTGCCATCCTGCCTTCCCAGACTGCCTTTCACCACTGCGTGAGGCTGCTTCTCAACCATACCCCCCTCTTCACCCTCCTTGCCCTCTTTCCTCTGATGCTGCTCTTCTCCTTGTTCCTGATGAGCCTCCCCTTCCTCCCTCACCTCACCCTCCTCTCCTCCCCCCTCTGCGCTCCACTCTCGCAAGCACTGCCGCAGCTTGCAGGCCAGCAGCCCATCGCCTGCCCCCACCTGCCTGAGGCACATGGGAGGGGTGGGAAGACGGAGATTGAGCTGAGAGGAGACAGACAGACATGGAGAAGTGTGCATGGCGCTTTATGCTCACATTTGGGGGGGGGGGGCAGTTGAGGGAGAGGAGACAGGTGAATGGTTGAGCAAATGGTGAGGGGGGGAGGAAGATCTTAGAAAATGACATGGCAGGGGAGCCACAGACAGGTCCAGGAAAGCAAAAGATAATCGAGTGTGAGAATGATCGAGTAGGCGCTTAGGTGTGAAGCTTAAAAGAAAGAACTTCTCAGCAAGCTTCAAAGCACGGGAATCAGAACATAGAAGACAGAGCATAGTGGGCAGGGCATAGCAGGCAGAGCATGCAATATATGACCCTCCACTATGTACCTTGCTCCTGCCTGCACCCTCAACACACAGCAGGTGCTCACCTCCAGCACAGTGAGGGATGTGAGTCCACTCGTGCGCCTGTAGTGCCCTGCACGCTCCCTGGGGGGCATAGGAGGGGGCCCGGCATGAGAGGGGCAAGGCAAGGGAGGGGCAAGGCATGGGGCATGGGAAGAGGCAGGGCATGGGAAGAGGCAGGGCATGAGAGGATTAGATTGGCACGGGGGAGAGATGGCACAGGTGGCATGGGGGAGAGGGAGAAAGGGAGGGAGGAGCATTTAAACTTCTACACTTTCTGGCGAGCAAAACAAACGCATACCCACGAAGACCCAAAAGGGACAGGAATGGGATGGAGTGCGGGATTGGCGAGCGTCTGACCGGATGTAAGCAGCGAGGGCGAGCAGCATGTCCTGTGTGACCACCTCGTAGTGCACCCTTGCTGCCATGCTGGGCGCACTGCACTGCCCTCCCACTCCCATTCCCACTGCCGCCTTCACTGCCACGGCGCAGGCCCTACGCTGGTGCTCCGAATCACGCTGTTCCTGCTGCTGCTCGCTCTCCTCCTTACTCTCCTCGCCTGCTCCAGTGGCTGCCTGCCACGTGGCAGGCCAGCTCAGCCTGCCAGCTGTGAAGTCCTTCCACTGCTGGCATCCGTGGCACGTGCAGGACACCACACCCCCCAGAATGATCTCAGGAGCAAGCATTGGAGGAGAGAGGAGGGGAGAGGAAGCGGGGTACAGTGGCACAGTGCAAGGGGGGAGGGCACCGAAGGGGGGATGCAGGACACCACGCCCCCTCCTGGGGTGATCTGAGGAGCCGTGCATGGCAGAGGGGCACAGAGGGGAGTGCAAGGGAGAGGGGCAAGGGCGGGAGGGGGAAGGGAGCAACGAGGGGGTAGGAAATGAGGCCCGATGTGATGATCGGATTGGAGGCACAGTATGAAGGGAGAGGGAAGATGGGAGAGGGTAGCGGGGAGAGGGGGGAGGGAAGAGGAGCATAGTGGGATGCTGCGAGGCCCGGGGGAAAATATCGAGGTGGGGGAAAGGGAGGGGGAGGGGAAAGGGGAAGTGAACCGGGGGAGGAGGGGGATGACGGTCAGGGGCGGTGGGGAGAGGAGGGCAGGCACGGCGGCCAATGCGAGGAGGGCAAAAGGTCTATTAGGGAGGGAACGGGATGGTGAGACAGCCGGCTACTCGGTTGCTCCAATTAAAGCGCTGCCATCAGTGGTGGTTACAGAGCCGCGCTCGACCCTTACAAAGCCGCGCTCACCCTTACAAAGCCGCGCTCACACTGCGCCGCCCTTCAGAGCGGGGCAGGTGAGAGCGCTGCGTCAGGAGGATGCGCCCATCACGCTGATGCATCCCAAAATTCAGAGCGCAAAATTCACTCCGAAATCGACGGGTACCCCGAGGTCACCCTCGCGGGGTTACCCACAAGTTCCCTGCAAGTGTCCCCGATGATACCTCGAGCAATTGCAACGTCAGCAACTCTCGCAGAGTCCGTCGCGCACATTCGTAAGAAAATAACTGACCAGTCAGGAGGCAGATCAGTTCGTTGGGATACCCTGAGGGTACCCACCTGTTTCTGAGGACGGTTCAGCACCAATCAGAACCTCGCTTCACTTTTGCTGACGAACCAGCCACGTTCTGAAATCCCACTTGGGAAGGTGCACTTCGACTTTCAACTCGCTGGACCGAAATATATTATATGTGTTTCTTTTGTGATTCAGTCCTGTTATCGCATCACTCAATATATTGCATACAGTTGATGGGTTGGGTTACGTGGCACATTAGTGTTCACCAACCAATCAGAGCTCCTGGACAGCAGCTTCCATTGCCTCTCCTCTCCCCTTCCATTGCACCTTCAGACAACCTCACGCGCATTCCTTCACCGAGCTCCGTCATGAAACTCTCCGCTTCCCTACTGCTCCTCGTCCTCGTTTGTACTCGCTCCATCTCTCCTTATCCAACTGAAGACTTTTCTACTGTATTTGCCTCTCCGTTTTGGAAGGCTACACGCGATGCTCTTCAAGGTGGTGAGTTTGACCAATCTTTGTCTAACGAGGTCTCTGGCTGCTGGTTTTCAGGAAGTTTTTGCTACGTGGATCTTGCTCCCAGGTTTCCGGATCAGGTAAGTGCTCTACTGGTGGTTGTTGGGTCTGACCAAGCGGTTGATTCCGTAATTTCAGGCAGCTTCTCCTGCTGGGTCTTCCTCCTCGGCCCTCCCGACTCCAAGGATTCCCCCAACTTTCGATGCCTTCCTTCCTCTGTACTGTCTCGCCAGTATTGCTGGAGTCCCCTGTGCTGCCCGCTTCCATGCAAGCCTTCTGCGTCATCCCTGACCTGGTACCCTCGTCAGGTCTCCTTACGCTGGTGTAAGCTTCGAGCCTACCTTGCTGGCTTTCTCGCGGGTCGCCTTCCATGCCGTCATGCCTGCGTTCACGCCTCGTCTTGCCGATCTGGCAGACGATCACATCTGACGGGTTGCTTAGGCCATTGCCGAAGCGCCCAGTTCTCTCTCTCTACCAATTCCCCCCTCCTCGTGCGCTTCGGCGGCGTGTCGAATCGCCGTATCTTTGCTTCTATCTCTGGCTTGGCCCCGCTGTTGGAATGGCGGTGGTATTTACGTCCCCCACCTCTGATTCCTCTCCCATCCTTCGTCACCATGGCCTCCCATCACAACCCTGACGCCGTCATGACCGACGAGCAGCTTGCTGCTGGGGAAGATAAGCTCACCGATCTCGGTGACTATGTCCTCGAAGATCTTCCCGACGGCGTCCCGCCGGAACTTAACGAAGAGCCTGCTGCTAAGAAGCAGTGTGGCGAAGGAACCTCCTCTGGCGCTGAGGCTAATGCGCCTACTGCCCCGGCGCCGGCGCCGCAGCCGATGCAGCGTTCCAACTCCTCTGGCAGCTCGGCGGCCACGGCCCTCGGTTCCGCCCCGGCCGAGGTCCGCCCCGCCCTCGCGCCCCCAGCCTCCTGTCCAGGATGCCGCGGAGGAGCAGCCTGCCGCTGGATCTGCTGCCAATCTTTCCCTGTCGGTGCGTTACCGCAACCTCCGCCGTCACCGCTCGTCGGTGGGTACCGAGCTCCGGTCCCTGCGGCGGAACCCGCTATCGCTGGTCACCGTGATGTTCCCGGAGTGCTCTGAGGAGGTTCGGGAGAGTCTTCTCTCCTGGATCGCCGCTGCGCTCCCTGGATCGACAGCCTTCAACGGTGCTGTTCCGCAGTTCGACGCAGCCGCGGGCGAACCGCTGCGCCTGCCGCGCAGGACGTATCATCGTCACATCTACTCCTGGACCTCCGCCGCCGACGCACGCATCTTCCGCGGGCTGTTCGCGAAGCCTTTCATCGCGCGGTTCAACAACAGCCGCCCGATCGAAGTCAAGCTTTATGTTGATCCCTACCCGGATTTCTCGGCCGCGAAAGCTCGCGGTGACACGTACGCGGTGGTGCGGAACGTGCCGCTTGGCGTCCAGCCTGAGGACCTGCGTGAGACCCTGCTCTGCGGCAAAACCGAGGACGATCTCCCCTGGCTCGCGGACCTCCTGCACTTCCACCGGCTCAAGGATCCCTACGACGACTCGGCCTACTCTCAGATGCTCGGTCTCCCCGTCGCGGCAGAAGGCGACCCTGCCTTCGAGCGCATTTCGGCTGTGCTCTGGATCCCGGGACAGGAGGAACCTGCCTTCCTGAACCTCTCGTGCCACTCCTGCTCCCTGTGCTCAAGCAATCATCGGCTCGAGGATCACGCCTGCTTCGCCATCACCCGAGGCAAACGGGTTGCCAACAGGCAGTCCATCACCATGTCTGCGCTGCAGGCGGTTAACGGTATTTACCTCCCCCCGACCTTATCTTGGTTGATGCTAACCGACCTATCCTATTCGTTGGCCCTGTTTTTTTCGGTATCTTCCCTTATCCTCCTTTATTGGCTCCGTGCTTTCTTCGGCTCTGGCCCGGTTATCCTCCTCCCCCCGCTCCCCTGTCTCGGCTCTCCCTGCGCCTCACCCCCCCCTCTCCTCAGGCAAGCTCCTTGGTCAGCACGCCTCCACGGCGGCGTTCAAAAAGGACCCCGGCCTGCTCCTCATCGGCCTGGACCTCGACGTGGAGGTGTGGGCCTGCTCTATCTGCGACTTTGTGTGCGGCATTGCGCTCGACAGTGCGATGTTCCACCTTTCCTCCGAGCAGCACCGCAACAGGCTGCAGGACCCTGCGCACCAGAATGTCTCCAAGGACAAATATGGGGCCTGGAAGGCCGAGACCCTGGTGCAGCATCACCGCATCAAGGCTCTCTTGCAGTAGGCCTGCTTCTAGGCTGCTGCCGTGTGGCACCGCCCTGGCGCTGTTCAGGCGTTGCGTGTGTGTCTGGTTTAGGCACTCTACCTTTTACCATTGTTCCCTGCTGTACCCCCCTTAAAGGAGAGTTGCCTCTGGATTTCTTCTACCGTCCTTCCACCCCCTGCCTACTCCGTGGATGCACATGCTCACGCATGTGGGGGTTTACAAGAGTTATCCAATGTTAATACCCCTCACAATCAGATGCATTAACGTGAATGGGATCAATAAACAAAAAAAAATCAATGCCCTTAGAGGATGGCACAATAAGCAGGACCCCAAAGCAGATATCCTCATCCTGTTTGATACTCGGCTAACCCTGAACTTTCACCGGCTTATCCTTACGCTCAAACCTTCCTCTTACGCGTATTGTCCTTCCCCCTACCTCAACCGCTCTAAACCAGGTGGAATCGCAGTGCTCATATTTCACAGTCAGATTTCCATCTCCTCCTAGGAGCCTTCCCCGGACGGTAGAATACTCTCTGTGCATATCAATTTCCTTGGCGAGCAGCTTCGCCTGATCGCTGTCTACGCCCCCTCCACCCCTTCCCTCAGACGGCCCTGGTGGCGCACGCTCTTCTCCGCCGTGCTCGATGCCCCAACCTCCTCTGCTGGAACTATAGTAGCAGGCGATTTCAATGCGGTCTGTTCGGCTGAGGACCGTAACAGGCCGCCACTTGCCCACGAAACCTCCGAAGGCGAAATCCTTTCCGCTGCCTTACAGCGACACGCACTGGCTGACTCCTTCCGTGTAACTTACCCCAACGAACCTATGTTCTCGTTCTTCGCCATTCCTCGGACCCTCCCAGGGGACCCCCCCCCTCCGCACCCCCCCCCTCCCACCCCCACGGCCTCCTGCCTGGACCGGATCTATGTCTCGACTTCTCTCTCCTCCAGAGTTCTTGACGCGCAGTATGCCTCCGCTTCCAACGAACTCACAGACCACGACTTAGCTCCCTCCTGCATTATCCGCTGCGAGGCGCCTAATCTGGCCCCTAGGCCATGGCGGCTCCCCCACGCCCTTCTCCAACGCCCACACACCGCCCAGATCGTGTCCACGGCGTGCCTGGACCTCCCTCCTGACATTCACGGAGCATCCTGGGACGCTTGGAAGCTCTCTTTGTGCAACAAACTCAAAGCCTTTTGCCGGCAAGAAAGAATTCGAATCAAGAAAACCTCTGAACACTTACAGAATCTGGTTAGTCACCTCAGGATAGCTCGCGCGGTCAACCCCACTGACTCCGACACCGCCGAACAGTTACGAGTGGTATCCCAACAATTCGAACGTTACGAAGCCTCGCGCGCTGCAGATATAGCGCTCAAAGCCAAACTTAAAGTTGAAGGGCCCCGAGAGATGGGGGTTTCATCCCTGCTGGTGGGCATCAACTCTCGCATTAAGGCCTCCCTAGTTACTTCCCTCCAATCACCGACAGGCGAGCTTGTCTCTGAACTCCCTGCAATGAGCGAGCTTTGCACAGCGTATTTCCGCGACCTCTACAGTGCCTCGCAACCTGTGCGGCCAGATGATAAATTCTGGACTCACCTTCCCCCCTCACTCATTCCCCCCAACATCACTCACCGCCTCTCTCAACCATTCTCCATGGCGGAAATCAATGCAGCAATCAAGAAAATTCCGCGTGGCAAAACTCCAGGGCCGGACGGCTTACCGGGCGAGTTATATCGCTCCTTCCATACCAAATTCTCCCCCGCCATTCACTCCTTGCTTCTCTCCCCGCCTACCGCCCTCCCCCCCTCTATGCTACAAGGCCGGACAGTGCTCATCCCCAAGAAGGGTGATGCCACCGTCCTTGACAATCTCCGCCCGATTACCTTAATGAACTCCGACTATAAGATACTCGCCATATGCCTCGCCGCCTGACTTCAACCTTTGCTTCCCTCTCTCATTCACCACTCCCAGGCGGCGTTCATTAAGTCCAGGAAAATTGGAGATACCCTCAACGACACTCTGGACATCTTCGATTGGGCTACCACGCAGAACATTCCCCTCCTGGCCTTCACGGTTGACATACGCAAGGCCTACGACCTTGTGGATCGTAAATTCATGCTCTCCTGCCTTGCCTTTCTCGGCCTCCCCCCCCCCTTCGTCCAGTGGGTGCGGCTTATGCACACAGGGACCACTACTCGGATCTCGGTCAATAACGTCTGCGGACCAGCCATCCCGGTTCGCTCTGGCGTCCGCCAGGGGTGCCCCCTCGCCCCCCTCCTCTTCCTTGGTGTTATTGAAATTTTCCACCGCTACTCCTCCCACTTCCTCCCCGGGTTCCCCATCTCCCGCACGCAGCGTCGCCTCATGGCATGCTATGCCGATGATGTGACTATCTTTCTCAACTCTGACCAGGAGCTCCAAAAGGCATCTCACGTGCTCCTTTCCTTCGCTGCTGTGTCAGGCGAACACCCTAACTGGGCCAAATGTGCCATCCTCCCTTTCAACATCCCCCCCGCTTCAGTCACCTACGCCGGCTCCATACCCATTCGGGGCGAGGAAGAATTCGAACGAATTTTGGGGATCCATGTGGGCCTTTCCGGCCGATCCGAGGTCACCTGGGAACGAGCTCAGACGCAAATTGAACGCTCAGCCAGTTTCCTTGCCAATCTCCATGCCTCCTCCACCTGCCGAAAGAATCTCTCCAACATCTTCCTCAACTCCACCCTCTCCTTTCCCGGCAGATTCCAACCCCCCCCCGACCCATCTATCCATGCCATCGACGCGGTTGTAGGAAACTTGCTCTCCTCATCCAAATTCCGCGAGGAGGGCCGGTCCACACGCCTCCTCACTAATAGTACCATCTACAACAAGGTTGAGCATGGCGGGCTCGGCGCAATCCGCCCTTCCACGCAAATCCTCGCGCTTAACGCTCAGCGTGCTCTGCGCCGTTTCTCCCACCTTCCCAATGCTACGGTCGCCAGGGAGCTGGTTCCCATCCCCTTCGGGCTGCACGGCTTCATGCTTCATAAGGACTTCCCCTCAGTGCTGCCTGACTCAGTACCTGCCCAGTTGCGAGAGGAAGTTAAAGCTCTCGCGAAACTAAACCTCACCATTCTTCCCCCCCGCCCAGAGTTCTGGTGTATTCTGGCAGAACCCGTCCCTTACAACCGATTCCTTCTCAAGTCGGACGATCGCCCCTTCGGCCGCCTCAAAGATGAAGTCTTACGGAGGAGGTACGCGTTGGTCACATCGTCCGACGCGACGCGACTGGAGCCCGACGTATGACCGAGGCCGAAATCATGCTTAAATACCCTCCAAGCAAATACCCATGCAGCCGTCGAATTCTCCAGGTGGTCTATGACGCGTTTCCCGACGATTGGTGGGCGGCTTTATCCTCCTCTCACAGCCTCGTTCCGCTAACCCCCGGAGATTGGGCGCTAAAAGTGGCTGACATGAACAAACCCCCCCAACTCGTCTACGAAGTCGAAGCTGCGCCTTCTGACACCTCCTTCCAGGCCTGCGCATATCGCGTTGATACCGTCGGACGAATCTCGAAGGATGTCGAGGCACGATGCCTCTTATCCTGTCGAGACATGGTGCAGGTATTCGTCGACGATCGGTGGCTAGGCGGGACCTACTGCTCGGGTGCAGGGCTAGCGGCGCGGTTCGAGATCCTGCAGGAAGGCCCCCCCTCGCTAGCAACTATCAGGAACTTAGCTTACAACCAGCAGCCGCTTCCTCATGCCCAACGCTGGATCAATATTCTTCCGGACCCAGGACCCAGGCTCATTCCTAATCTCACCCACGTTTTCCTACTGGAGCAGCCATCCTCCCAACGCGATGTGCTGTTCCGGCTCTACTCACGAGCCTTGCCTTCAGGATCCAGATTTCTCTAAGCAGCTGACAAGGGAATTTGCGGCGGTTGCAACAGAGGAATTGTCGAAGATCTCCCTCACCTGTTTTTTGAATGCGGCGTGGCCCAACCTGTCACCGAGGCGCTTCAACGCTCCGCACGCGCACATCTGGGAATTTCAACCACCGCAGCTTTGACTCTGTTCCCCCTCGCATCAGCGGCTGGACAAGTGGCCCCGTGGAGCCTATTGGTCGGGGCAGCAGCGAAAGTCATCTGGAACTCCCGCTGCAGCCACCGATACAGACAGACCCCCTTCAACTCCCACGAAGCCCTCCACACCGTCCTCAACCTGTTCCTTATGGCCTTCAAAATTCTACTCTGGCGTGCGTCCAATGGTTCCAAGAAAAAGCGGGACAAGGCAGCTCGCCGAATCAAGCTTGCCCTCCAGCACCGTTTCTTCACCTTTCCCGAGCCCAATGTCCTAGCAATCCACCCCGACTTCCGAGCCACGTGGCTCCTCACCGACCCCTTCCGCCCTCCCTAAACCATCTCACTGCCACATGTCAGCTGGATTTGCATTCACTTCTCCGGGTGCCTCCACCCTTCGTGGTGGGAGGATGACGTATTCCTACGTGCTCCCCTGGCGGGAGCCGTGTTAGAAACAATAGGAGTGGGGCCTAGGCTTAGTAGCCTAGGCCCACACTAAGAGGTAGTAGGATGTGCCCTAGGACTAGGGTTTTGGGTATGCGAAGGAGAATTGGAGAAGAGAGAATGGAGGATGATTGAACTAGCAAGCAGGTTGGTACAAATAGGAAACCCTAAAGGGGTTGTACTCACTATTGAGCACCCCACTGCAGGCTAGACAAATAACATAATCTGACACACCCCCATAGTCAAAGTGGGGTGTAATCAGCACAATCAGCAGTCACATCAAAAGTTCACAATTATCAGCAAAGCTAGAGGCTATCACAGAGGGCAAGTGAGGAGGAGGAACTGTGAAGGGAGAGAAGATTGGAGACGACGACTGAAGCTGCAGACACACAGGCGCAGCAGGCTCTCTGAGCTACCAGGACAGTGCGCCCCGGACTACAGGTGCTGCAGCCTCCTCCAACTGTCCCACACCCCCCTACACACATCCCCTGTTTCACCTCTAGCTCCACTCCCACATCACCCCCCTAGCGCCACTCCCTTCGGCTCCCACACCTCCACCCCCCTCAGCGGCAGCTGCAGCAGTGGGAGACGAAGGAGGAGGAAGGGACGACGCACACGGAGCACCCCCATACCTGTCACCCCCACACTCCTGTCCAGGGGACGGGGGGGGGGGGGGGGGGGGGCAACATAATAGAACAGAGCGCACGAAGCACAAGGCACAAGGCACAAGGCACGAGGCACAAGGCACGAGGCACAAGGCACGAGGCACGAGGCACAAGGCACAAGGCACAAGGCACGAGGCACAAGAGAGTAGAGCACAAGGCACGAGGCACGAGGCACAAGGCACAAGGCACGAGGCACAAGAGAGTAGAGCGCACGAGGGCGCGGGCTGCAGCAGGGCGCACGAGGGCGCGGGCAGCAGCAGGTAGGCAGGGCGCGCGCAGAGGCGCAGCGCAGGTAGGCAGTGCGCGCGCAGAGGCGCAGCGCAGGTAGGCAGGGCGCGCGCAGAGGCGCAGCGCAGGTAGGCAGTGCGCGCGCAGAGGCGCAGCGCAGGTAGGCAGGGCGCGCGCAGAGGCGCAGCGCAGGTAGGCAGGGCGCGCGCAGAGGCGCAGCGCAGGTAGGCAGGGCGCGTGCAGAGGCGCAGCGCAGGTAGGCAGTGCGCGCGCAGAGGCGCAGCGCAGGTAGGCAGGGCGCGCGCAGAGGCGCAGCGCAGGTAGGCAGGGCGCGTGCAGAGGCGCAGCGCAGGTAGGCAGTGCGCGCGCAGAGGCGCAGCGCAGGTAGGCAGGGCGCGCGCAGAGGCGCAGCGCAGGTAGGCAGGGCGCGCGCAGAGGCGCAGCGCAGGTAGGCAGGGCGCGTGCAGAGGCGCAGCGCAGGTAGGCAGTACAAACGAACACAGGCAAAACGAACAAATACACGAACAAGACGAACGTACACGGAGTGGGCAAGAAAAGACACATACAGAACGAGAGGAACAAGACTGCGGGTGACAGGAAAAGTAGGCAGCTGCACCGGGACCAGGAGCGGCGTCGCATGCAGCTGCAGGGTCGGCGCCGTGGGCTGCTGCAGAGGCGGCTGCTGCAGGGGCGGCTGCTCGGGTCCAGGGGCAGCTGCAGCAGTGGCGGCTGCTCCAGGGGCCAAGGGCGGCTGCTGCAGGGGCGGCTGCACCAGGTGCGGCGTCGCGGGTCCAGGGGCGGCTGCACCAGGGGCGGCTGCACCAGGGGCGGCTGCTGCAGGGGCGGCTGCTCCAGGGGCGGCGTCGCGGGTCCAGGGGCGGCTGCACCAGGGGCGGCTGCACCAGGGGCGGCTGCTGCAGGGGCGGCTGCTCCAGGGGCGGCTGCTGCAGGGGCGGCTGCACCAGGTGCGGCGTCGCGGGTCCAGGGGCGGCTGCACCAGGGGCGGCTGCACCAGGGGCGGCTGCTGCAGGGGCGGCTGCTCCAGGGGCGGCTGCTGCAGTTGCTGGCGGCTCCAGGGGCTGCTGCTGCAGTTGCGGGCGGCTCCAGGGGCTGCTGCTGCAGTTGCGGGCGGCTCCAGGGGCTGCTGCTGCAGTGGCGGGCGGCTCGAGGCGCGCCCTGGCCTGGCGCAGTCCGTACGGGCCGCGCGCGGGCCTGGCGCAGCCCGTACGGGCCGCGCGCGGGCCTGGCGCAGCCCGTACGGGCCGCGCGCAGGCTGGACGGGCCGCGCGCGGGCCCTACGGAGGTCGCGCGGGCCACGACGGGCGACGGGGGGCGACGCGCGGGTCCCCGTCGCCCGTCGCAGCGCCTCCCGGGGGCGACGCGCGGAGTGACGGGGTGGAAAGCCGCCGCGCGCCTCGGGGCGCACGGCGGGCAGAAAACCGCCGCACGCCTCGGGGCGCACGGCGGGCAGAAAACCGCCGCACGCTTCGAGGGCGCGGCGGGATGAAAAATTAGGGTTTCGCCGCCGCGCACCACGGGGCGCGCGGCGGACAGTACGGCAGCGGAAGCAGGTGGTGGGCCCATAGAGGTAAGCGGCAGGAACGTGCTCGCTCTAGATACCATGTTAGAAACAATAGGAGTGGGGCCTAGGCTTAGTAGCCTAGGCCCACACTAAGAGGTAGTAGGATGTGCCCTAGGACTAGGGTTTTGGGTATGCGAAGGAGAATTGGAGAAGAGAGAATGGAGGATGATTGAACTAGCAAGCAGGTTGGTACAAATAGGAAACCCTAAAGGGGTTGTACTCACTATTGAGCACCCCACTGCAGGCTAGACAAATAACATAATCTGACAAGCCGAGCTGTAGCTTGCATCCTTATCTAGCTGCTTGCATGTTTGTAAACAGGTTACGACCTCAATAAAACCTTAAACCTTAAACCATTGCACCTTCGGAATACTAATCCACCCTCTACTTCTCAATCTGTCATTTCTGATTTCGTTTTCCAATCCTGATACACACTTAGAGCAGCTATAACGAGGCTTACCTGCAGCGTACTTAGAATGACAAGTCGCTTCTCACAATTAGCGCTGGTGAGTTATTAGCGGTGGTCAGGCTTCGCGTTGAACGACAAGCTTCCTACGAGCGCACGTATTATTCGTGGTTTTCTTTCCAGCTTCTTTTCAGTTGTATTGCTCGTACTCGTGACGTTCGTTTTATTAGCGCGTATTGTATTTGTTTAATCACTAATTGTTTTTGTTCAAATGCGGTAAATGCAGTGCGGCGTCAATGATCAATCATGAGCTACTCCCCCCGGGAGTCAACCAATCCCCCATGTGGTGCGCCACGAGTTCATGCGAGGTACGATAGTTGTGTGCGCTTACTGTTAACCCGGCGCTAATGCGCTTAATCGTATACCGCACTCTCAAAGCCGCATCTAATCCGTGTCTTTTTCCAAATGTCGCGTTGCTGGCAGACTTCGGTGGGATCCTCTCACGCAGCGGCGAACGGTGGCAATTTTGAGTGCATCGATTTCGAACCCCTGCTGGACTTTTAAGTGCACACTCTTAAGTGCTTCGATTTTGAGTGCATGTCCGTGGAAGCACCATTATTCGTGAGGTAAGAATCATGCAGTAAGAGAGTGTCACAATTACATGCCCTGTGTTGCTGCTGTGTCGTTTGTTGCTTTGGTGTGGTGAAGGCGCACAATAACACATGGCTCTTGAGCTATGCATGTGATCTGCATGTTAGACTTTGCAATTGGTAACATTTTGTTGCGATGTTGAAAATTTTCAGGTGTGTACATGATGTAATAGTGTAAGGGCTCTGCATATTGCTAGATTCATGAAGGAGCAAACATAATTATATTAGCCGTTGTGATTTAATAGTGCTGTACGATGTAATGAAATTTCTTTCCAACGTTTCTGAAACTAGCTACATCGAAATTCATATTGTTTTAGAACCCGTGAGTAAACAATATTGTACAACGTAATGAAATTACTTTCCATCGTTCAAACTCTTATAGTACGTTGGCAAATTACTGTAATGTCGGTTAGTGTACTGAACTAACAATTTTGTGATGTTGGCGAACTATTTCTCAGCGAGGATGCGGCTCGCTTGTGATTCGTTCCAAACGTCTGGGATTGGTTGGAACGGGGTGTCTCGAGGGTTACGTGTGGGTCACCACCTGTGGGGGACCTCGGGGTGACCACGCGAAGTGGTTTTTGCCGAGGTGACCCGCGGGTCACCTAGACGAGGACCCCGGGGTATCCCGCCACGGGGTAAGCTGGGGGTAACCTGTGGGGGAGATTTTGGCCCAAACTTTTTTGGGATGTGCGTGCGCGCACCACGCCGGGGGAAGACGTGAATTCTGTGCTTGTGTTGATCGCACACTCGCGCGTGCTGCTAATGCGGGAATGCGGCAACATCATCACGCGTGGCATCAGCGCAAACGCGCGCGGGAGTGACCATCACCTGCGGGGTGCACGCGGAGCCGTCAAAGAGGCCGAACGCAGCGACGACGTCGCGGAACGCGGGGAGGCCGAGCGACGGCTTGGAGTACGCCGGCCGCCCGTGCGCCGCCGAATACACGCGCGGAGCCGCCATGCGCGCAGAAATTAATATCGCTTGAATGCCCGCGGCTTTCTACATTTCTCAAGAACGAATTCAACAAGAGAGGCTCGGGTTCATGAACGCTGCTGTCCCGCGGAAAGGTCCTCGTCGTGACGACGGCTCCTACATTTCTCCGAGAACGCTGCTGTCGCTGCTGTTGTGAAGGCTCTTCAACGGACACTGCGTGCGATCGACGGCTTGGAAAGAAGAGGCGGCTCGAATGGATGAGCACACGGAGGAGTGAGCCCAGCGAGGCTCGGTGACGCTCAGTAAAGCTAGGTGAAAATTGGAGGTTTTACTTGACACAACGCTTCCATTTAACACAACGCTTTCTTAGGTGCAATGTTTGTCAGAATCCCAGCCACTAACCACTGGGATAAAAGGGCTTGTTTGTGTAGCGGGTGAGTGCGCCCATAACCCCCCAGGCCGCCGTGCCTGTAACCCTTCCCTAGGATCAATCGGGGATCACCAGTGGACCTTTGACACCCCCCCGCACTGGGATGCCCGAGGTGCACACACCGGGATTCGAACCCGAGACCTTTGCTCTGATACCATGTCAGAATCCCAGCCACTAACCACTGGGATAAAAGGGCTTGTTTGTGTAGCGGGTGAGTGCGCCCATAACCCCCCAGGCCGCCGTGCCTGTAACCCTTCCCTAGGATCAATCGGGGATCACCAGTGGACCTTTGACAATGTTTTACTATCATCGCCATGTTACGCAACTACAATGAAAGTATAATACGGTATATAATAATATCGTAATCCAACCATCTTCTCACCCCATCAGTCATTGCCCTTGATCCACTTTTAGAATAAAGGCGTCGAGTCCTTGGCAAATTAATCAGGTTGTGAGTACACTCGCGCTTATGAAGGGAAAGTGGATACCCTGTAGCGAAGCACAAACGCCTGATCGATCTTTCCCTGAAGCCACAATAGCAGCAAGGCCGATACACCACCCTGGAAACACAAGTTTCCCCGACCGCCACACCTGGCAGCGAGGAGGTAAAATGTCTAGCGGCTTCGCACTGCGGCAGTGCAAGAGCTTCTGTCGAAGCGTCGCGGCGCACGGCCGTGGCGAAGACTGGCTTCGACGATTTAGCGGGCAAGCCGCCGCTGGAACTGTCCTAAGAAATTCTTCTGACTTTTCGCCCGCTTCACGAGAGTCGCATGGCAGGTCGCTTCCTCCGCGCGAATCGCATGCACACGCCGGTCCCAAGCCGGACCGGCCTTTTTTTCACCCTGCTTTCCGCGGTACTACCTGCAGCGGATGCAGCATCAGCGGCAGTGCTGGGAGTGTAGGCTGCACTGGTAGAAGTATTTCGAGCAGCAGGGCTGTGAGTAGCGGCAGCAGCGACAGAAGCGCCGGTAGAAACAGCAGAGGCGGCGGCGGAGGCGTCAGTTTATCGCTGCCCGGGGTGAAGCACATCGTGGCTGTGGCGTCCGCGAAAGGCGGCGTCGGCAAGTCCACCACTGCCGGTGCGCCTCCCCGCCTCCCCGCCTCACCGCCTCAGCGCGCTCCATCGCCGCAGCGCCGAGCCCCGCGCTGCTTCATCTCCGCACATCCTATCCCACCCTCCCCTCCCCCTCGTCCCCCCACCTCACTCCCCATCCCCCTTTGCCTCCCGCTCTCTATCCCCTAATCCGTCCCCATGCCCTTCCCCCGTCCCTTCACTGCGTGTCCACCTTCCACTCACCCCATTCCTATTACCCCGTCCCTCTCCTAGAATCTCTCGCACCCAATCCATCTCACCTCGTTCCTCCACCTTAATGGCCCTCCCCAGATGCCTCCCTCCCCTATGGCTAGGACTCGAATCTCGCGTGCACCCCAAGCCTCTCCTTGTGCGCCTCTTGTTCGGTGCCTTTAACTCCATCCAACTTCCTGCATACCTCTTAACCGTCGTCTCTACCTGAAATCTTCTCACCCCGTGCCTCTGGCTCTCCACAGTGAACCTAGCAGTGTCCCTCGCCCGTCACATCCTGCAGGTGGGACTACTAGACGCGGACATAACGGCCCCTCACTGCCCAACCTGCTCGGCCTGCACTGTGCCACACCCCCCCTGCACCCCTCCCTACCGCAGTGAACCTGGCGGTAGCCCTTTCACGCCACATGCGCCTGCAGGTGGGACTGCTAGACGCGGACGTGTTCGGCCCCTCACTGCCCAAGCTACTCGGCCTGGCCACAGCCGGGCGCCCCCAGCTCGCATCCCCCTCCCCCAACGCGCGCATGCTGCCACTGCAGGTGAACGGCGTGCTCTGCATCATGCTCCTCAATCCATACCTCTCAATCCATACCTCTCAATCCATACCTCTCAATCCATACCTCTCAATCATGCCTGCTGTCGTGGTCACCCTCTGCTTGATGGGCTTAGAGACTGCCGCCCCCCCCTCTGCTCCCCGCGCCCCCTGCCCACCGCGCCCATATTGCCATGGCAGGCGCACGGCGTGCTCTGCATGTCCATGGGCTTCTCATCATGGCCTTCCTCATGCCTACTGCTCCCCCGCCCCCAACGCGCGCATGCTGCCACCCGCTGCAGGCGCACGGCGTGCTCTGCATGTCCATGGGCTTCTCATCATGGCCTTCCTCATGCCTATTGCTCCCCCGCCCCCAACGCGCGCATGCTGCCACCCGCTGCAGGCGCACGGCGTGCTCTGCATGTCCATGGGCTTCCTCATGCCTGCTGACGTGGCGGCCGTGTGGCGCGGGCCCATGGTGATGGCGGCGGTGGAGAAGCTTGTAAGGGGGACGGAGTGGGGGCGGCTGGACGTGCTCGTGGTGGACATGCCGCCCGGCACGGGGGACGTGCAGCTCAGCATGAGCCAGCGCGTGCGGCTGTCAGGTAATACACCCACCACCGCATACAATCGTCCCTTCCATCTCCCCGGCACAGGGGATGTGCAGCTCAGCATGAGCCAGTAGCCAGCGCGTGCGGCTCAGGTAAGTGGCAGATGGTACGGTATGAGGCCAGCACTATGGGAGGAAGCAGGGAGTGGGGGCGGCTGGACGTGCTGGTGGTGGACATGCTGCCCGGCACGGGGGACGTGCAGCTCAGCATGAGCCAGAGGGTCCGGCTGTCAGGTGCTCGTCCTCCCCCCACCCTCCACTCTTCCAATCGTCCCTCCCATCTCTCTGGCATGGGGGATGTGCAGCTCAGCATGAGCCAGCGGGTGCGCCTGTCAGGTGCTCGTCCTCCCCCCACCCTCCTCTCTTCCAATCGTCCCTGCCATCTCCCTGGCACGGGGGATGTGCAGCTCAGCATGAGCCAGAGGGTCCGCTTGTCAGGTAATTCACCCACCAGCTCACACACACTGTTGTGGGGGTTTAAGCCTGGACGTGCTCGTGGTGGACATGCCGCCCGGCACGGGCGACGTGCAGCTCAGCATGAGCCAGAGGGTGCGGCTGTCAGGTAAGTGGTGGACAGGATGGGGTTGGAAGGTATGGGTTGGGACGTGCAGCTCAGCATGAGCAAGCGTGTGCGGCTGTCAGGTAAGAGGCAGACGGATTGCATGGGTTGGGATGGGTGGGGAGGGGAAGGGAGGGGAGGGTGAGGAGGAGAGGGGAGGGATGGGACGGGATGGGATGGGATGGGATGGGATGGGATGGGATGGGATGGGATGGGATGGGATGGGATGGGATGGGATGGGATGGGATGGGATGGGATGGGATGGGATGGGATCATGGTATGCAGCCAGCACTATCAGAGGAAGCGGTGGGGGTGCATACGCCGGTGGTGGCCGTATTGCGTGGCAGTGGGGAGGTGCAGCTGGGGAGGTGCAGCTGGGGAGGTGCAGCTGGGGAGGTGCAGCTGGGGAGGTGCAGCTGGGGAGGTGCAGCTGGGGAGGTGTTGTTGGTTGATTCACTTCAGTTGCTTGCATCCCTCTACCATCTCTCTCTCTCTCTCTCCGTCCAACCTTCAACCCATCCACCCGTCCACCCGTCCCCCTCACCAGGGGCGGTGGTGGTGTCGACACCACAGGACCTTGCACTGATGGATGCACGGAGGGGAGTGACCATGTTCCGACAAGTCAACGTGCCGGTGGGTGATGGGGTGGTGGGTGATGGGGTGGTGGGTGATGGTGTGGTGGGTGATGGGGTGCTGGGAGCTCTGCTGGTGGGGTTGCTGTAATAGGGTTGTAGCGTGATGGTTAGTGCGCGGAGGGGAGTGACCATGTTCCGCCAGGTCAACGTGCCGGTGGGTCTTGGGGTGGTGGGGTGCTGGGATGGTGTGGTGGGGTTGTGGGTGCTGTAGTGCTTCTGTAGTGTGATGTTGCTTAGTGCGCGGAGGGGAGTGACCATGTTCCGCCAGGTCAACGTGCCGGTCAGTCATGGGGTGCTGGCATGGTGGGTCATGGGGTGGTGGTTCACGGGGTGGTGGGTCATGGGGTGGTGAGTGCGCTGCTGGTGGCATGGTGGCATGGTGGCATGGTGGCATGGCAGGTGCTGCGGTGGTGGGAGGGTGCTGTGATTGGCCCGTGGCGTGGTGGTTAGTGTCAGTGGGTGCTCGGATGGAGACATGCGGTGGCAGGAGTCAGGTTCTGCCTGGCCTTGTTGGCTGGGCCGCAACGGTTCCTTTCGAGACTGCGCAGGCTCCAAAGACCATCTCTTTTCTAGTTGCGCAGCTTCCCGCTCTGCCCCTCCATGCGTCCCTGTATGCGCCCCTACACACAGGTGCTGGGAGTGGTGGAGAACATGAGTTACTTCACCTGCCTTGCCGTGAACGCTCCTTCATTGTAACCCCCGGTTGCGTTGCGCCCCTGGTTGCCCTACACATAGGTGCTGGGTGTGGTGGAGAACATGAGTTCCTTCACCTGCCTTCACATGTCCTCCGCTCCTTGCAATCGTACATGTGCCCCTCAATGCACCCTTGGCTGGCTGGCAGGTGCTGGGAGTGGTGGAGAACATGAGTTACTTCACCTGCCCGGCCTGCTCGCACCGCGCCACCATCTTCGGCCATGGAGGAGCCAGGCAGGCTGCCGCTGACTTGGGAATTGAGTTCCTCGCAGAGGTGGGTTGCGTTTGAGTCGACTCAAATCAGAGGTGGGTTGCCCGCACAGGTGGGGTGATGGCACTTGCATGGTATCTTGTAAGTTCCTGGCCCATGTGGGCTCCCACCGCGCCACCATTTTCGGCCATGGAGGGGCCAGGCAGGCTGCTGCTGACCTGGGGATCGAGTTCCTAGCAGAGGTGGGGTGATGGGATGGGATTTGCATGGTATCTAGTAAGTTTCTGCAACATGGAGGTTTTCACCGCGCCACCATTTTCGGCCATGGAGGGGCCAGGCAGGCTGCTGCTGACCTGGGGATCGAGTTCCTTGCAGAGGTGGGGTGATGGCATTGGCATGGTATCTGTCTTGTAAGTTTCCACTGTAGGTAGGTAGGTTCCCACGCTCCGAAATCTTCGGGCATTGGGGGGCCAGGCAGGCTGCCGCTGACTTGGGGATCGAGTTTCTCGCAGAGGTGGGTTGGGTTGCTGGCATTTGCATGGTATCTGTCTTTTAAGTTTCCGCTCTAGGTAGGTAGGTTCCCACCGCGCCACCATTTTCGGCCATGGAGGGGCCAGACAGGCTGCCACTGACTTGGGGATTGAGTTCCTCGCAGAGGTGGGTTGCTGGGGGGAGAGGTGGGGGTTGCTGGGGGGAGAGGTGGGGGTTGCTGGGGGGAGAGGTGGGGGTTGCTGGGGGGAGAGGTGGGGGTTGCTGGGGGGAGAGGTGGGGGTTGCTGTCAGTGCAACAGATCGATTGCATGCAGAGGTGGGTTCGATACTGCTCCCACCGCGCCACCATTTTCGGCCATGGAGGAGCCAGACAGGCTGCTGCTGACTTGGGAATCGAGTTCCTCGCAGAGGTGGGGTGATGGCATTCGCATGGTATCTGTCTTGTAAGTTTCCACTGTAGGTAGGTAGGTTCCCACGCTCCAACATCTTCGGCCATGGGGGGGCCAGGCAGGCTGCTGCTGACCTGAGAATTGAGTTCCTCGCAGAGGTGGGTTGCCCGCACAGGTGGGGGTTGCTACCAGTGGCAGAGGTGTGTTGCAGGCAGAGGTGTGTTGCAGGCAGAGGTGTGTTGCAGGCAGAGGTGTGTTGCAGGCAGAGGTGTGTTTCAGCCTGCTCCCACCGCGCCAACATCTTCGGGCATGGAGGGGCCACATAGCCTGCCTCTGACTTGGGGATCGAATTCCTCGCAGCGGTGGGTTGCTGGGGGAGGTGGGTTGCTGGGGGAGGTGGGTTGCTGGGGGAGGTGGGTTGCTGGGGGAGGTGGGTTGCTGGGGGAGGTGGGTTGCTGGGGGAGGTGGGTTGCTGGGAGAGGTGGGTTGCTGGGAGAGGTGGGTTGCCAGCACAGGGGCATTCCGGACATTTTTTTGAAATTTTACGCAAGCTCCTGGGTGGGCTTCCCTTTGCACTTATGACAGAGACGATTTCAGCAGAGGTAAATGTGCTTTCCCTCCTGCCCTGACTCGTTTGCGTCCGTTTCGTTCGCCGCACCCATACCCTTCCTCTGTCCCTTGGCCTCTCCTTCTCCCCTCCACCCCTCCCCGTTCCCTACTGTCTTGTCCTGAAGCAACGTTCCTTTCCTCACTTCCTCGTGGCTTCCCCTCCCCTTCCCTCTCCCTCTCCCCCCTTTCTCTCTGCCCCTTCCCCCCCCCACCCCCCCCCTCTTTCTGCCCCTCCTCCCCCCTCTCCCAGGTGCCTCTCCTGCCGTCCATCCGCAGTCGCTCAGACAGCGGCATCCCTGTTGCTCTCGGTGCCTCCTCGACCCCTTCCTGGCTTCTCCACTCCCCTCCATACCCCCTTCCCCCTTTCCCCCTTTCCCTCATCCCCCCTCTCCCAGGTGCCTCTCCTGCCGTCCATCCGCAGTCGCTCAGACAGCGGCCTCCCCGTTGCTCTCGGCGCATCTGCTGCTGCTGCAAGCGGGAGAGGTGGGGCGACAGAAGGTGCGGCAGCCGTAGGCAGGGCAGCAGAGGGTGGGGGAGCCGCAGAGGAGGGGGCAGACACTGGGAGTGGTGGGGCAGAGGTGGCAGAAGGTGGGGGAGCAGCAGAGGAGGGGGCAGATGCAGGGAGTGGTGGGGCAGAGGCGGCAGTGGTGGCGACATATGAGAGTATGGCGAGGAGGGTGTGGGAGAAACTGGAGGAGCAGTCACAGGCGGGTGGAGGTGCGCAGGGGCCAACGATTGTTAATGATTGATGGGATGGGATTGGAAGATGGTTGGATGTTGCGTTGATAGATGAAATATTCTATTTGCCTTGTAGTTGCGCATGTTGTAAAATAAATAAATGTGTAACATGGGGAGACAGTTGAATTATCTTGCACCTAAATGCATTGTTGAAAATAGGGAGCTTTGATAATTATTTTATCAAGTTTATGTAATTTTCACCGTGCTTTACCTAGCACCACCGAGCCTCGTTGGGCTGCGGTCATCCATCCGACGAATTACATTCATCTGTCCGCGCCGCCTCTACTCTCCAAGCCAGTGATCGCGTTCACTGTCCGTTGAAGAGCCTTCACGGCGAAGACCTTTCCGCGTGACAGTACCGTTCATGACCCCGATCCTCCGTTGTAGAAGTCTTTTTGAGAAATGTAGAAAGCCGCGTGCATCATAGCTGCCTCATTTTCTGCGCGCATGGCGGCTCCGCGCGTGTATTGGGCGACGCACGGGCGGCCGGCGTACTTCCGGCCGTCGCTCGGCCTCCCCGCGTTCCGCGACGTCGTCGATGCGTTCGGTCTCTTCGACGGCTCCGTGTGCTCCCCGCAGGTGATGGTTACTCCCTTGCGCGCGTGCGCGTGCGCGTGCGGGTGCGCTGATATTACTACCGCACTGCCGCGTGCGCTGATGGTGCGGGCATTTCCGCGTTACCAGCACGCGCAAGGTGCACTCGACTCAAGCACGCAGCATGATATCAGATGAGGCGAGACGCGCGGATTAGCGTTGCGCTGTCGGCGCGTCAAACGTAACGACACAATACAACGTGACGCGCTCCCTGCTGCTCTCGCTGCTCTCCTCGCGAGCGCGCGACTGAGTTGCGCGCTGGAGCAGTCCCGCCCGCGCACGTCCGCGTGATGCGCTCATCCGCCCCACGCAGCGCTCTTCCCTGACCCCTCGATGAAGGGACCGGCGGGGCGAGTGCGGCTTGGGTGCAGCTCGAGTGCAGCTCGAGTGATTGTTGATCTCCTGAACCAACAAGTACCAGCCACGCCCTCTTCGCCCACCACTCTCACCCCGCCTCCCTTCTTCGTCCCAATGTTGCCGCCCATTCTTCCTTCTCCCCCCCCCTCCCCTCTCCTACCCCTCACTCTTTCCTCGAGCGTTGTGCCTGCCAATGGGGTCTGCGTGTAAGCCAACGCGCAGGCAGCCCCTCCGTTGCCAACGAGCACGTGACGATTGCTCGGCCTGCTGCCTCCCTGCTTTCGCCCCCGTACCCGCCCCTCTGTCCCAACCATCCCGCCCATCACCCCCCCCTCCACGGATCCTCGCACACGACCTGCTTCTATTCCCCGATCCGCCTTTCGTCCCGGTCCTCCTCCCCCTCTCCCTCCCCCCCCCGCGTCTCCATTTGCGCCGATCGTTGCACCTGCACTGGTCTGCAGCAGCAATCCACCGCTACTCCATTCGCTCCCCTTCCCCCTCCCCAGCCACCACTCTTTGTCACACTCACGCCCTTACTTCCTCCCATGCTCTCCTGCCCCCCCCACGCCTGCTCCCTGTTACCTTCTTCCCCGTCCCCTCTCCTCGCTTCCCTCTCCCCTCACACTGTGCCTCAGATCACCCCGGGGGGAGTGGTGTCCTGCCCGTGCTACGGATGCCAGCAGTGGAAGGACTTCACTGCTGGCAGGCTGAGCTGGCCTGCCACGTGGCAGGCAGCCACTGGAGCAGACAACAAAGGGCGCGGGGAGAATGAGGAGCAGCAGGAAGAGCAGCGCGGCGGTTACGCAGTGGCGGTGAAGGCAGCGGCGGGAGTGGGAGTGGGAGTGGGAGGTGCATGGCAGCGTGGTGAGCCGGGCATGGCAGCAAGGGTGCACTACGAGGTGCTCACACAGGACATGCTGCTCGCCCTCGCTGCTTACATCCAGTCAGTCCCTCACCAACACGTCCCCACCTTCTTTTTATGCTTCACGTGTATGCGTGTTGCGTTGCATAAAGGCAATCAAGCGTCCTTCTTTTTAGCCATAAGCTGCAGAGGATATTCTCCTGTCTCCCTGCCTCCATCTCCCCCGTGGCACCCATTCCATTTCCCCGACTGCCTATTACATCTCCACATAAATTGCCCCTCCCTTGTCTTGCCCATTCCCGTTCCCCCCCAGGGAGCGTGCAGGGCACTACAGGCGCACGTGTGGACTTGCCTCCCTCACCGTGCTGGAGGTGAGGCGCATTCGACGGGGTGAGGGAACATTTGGGGAGGTGAGGGGAAATAGGGTGGGTGAGGGGCAATAGGGTGGTGCGCTGCAGTGGTGGGGGTGAGGGGCAGTGCAGTGGTGGGGGCGCGTTGCAGTGGTGGATGTGAGGCACATTGCCGGTATGCCACGCCACGTATATCAGGTGCTTGTTCTGGTGGAGGCTCGGAATCCTCATGCCCTGTCCTGCCTTGCATGCTCTGCCTACCTGCCATGTTAGGAAGCTTGTAACAGTCTTCTTCTTTAATCTTCACACCCAATCGCCAGCCCCTTCATTTTCACCCTGCATCATGTTTCACTAACCGTCCTGTACCATCTATCGCACCCCCGCCATATATATCTAAGGGCTCCCTACTCCTGAGAATTCTCAAAAGGGGTTCCCTACTCCGCCCCACCCTTCGCTCTATACTCACCTCTCTCCTCTCCCCACTCTTGGTATCTGTCCGCCTCTTCTTTTTAGAAAACTGTTTGTCTTCCCATGCACTCCTCCCATGTGCGGCAGGCAGGTGGGGGCAGGCGATGGGCTGCTGGCCTGCAAGCTGCGGCAGTGCTTGCGGGAGTGGGGCGCAGAGGAGGAGGGCACAGAAGGGGACGGTGCAGAAGGGGAGGGCGCAGATCGGGGGGTAGAGGAGGGTGCGGTGAGGGAGGAAGGGGAACAACAGGGAGAAGAGCAGCACCAGAGAAACGAGGGCAAGGAGGGTGAAGAGGGGGGTGAACGAATGGTTGAGAAGCAGCCTTCTGAAGTGGTAAACGGGAATCTGGGAAGGCAGGATGGCAGGCGGAGTGACAGGGAGGGGGAGGCTGGCGGTGAGTGGGTGAGGTTGGAGGGGCTGTGGACGAGAGTGATCGCCACTGATGCCATGCCTCGTAGACTGCCTGGCGGTGATGCTGCCACGTGCAGCCTCGTTGGTGCCGACAGTGCTGGTTCGAGGGAGGGCAGTGGTGCTCCGAGGGAAAAGTCTGCTCGTGTGGTCGCCACTGATGCCATGCCTCGTAGGCTGCCTGGCGGTTGTGCTGCCACTTGCAGCCTTGTTGGTGCCGATAGTGGTGCTACGAGGGAGGGCAGTGGTGCTTCAAGGGGAGAGTCTGCTCGTGTGGAGGCAGGGGATGAAGTGATAGCGTGTGATGCGGAAGAAGCAATTGCGGAATACAAGCCCCACATTGTGATCGCATGCTGGATGGTGAGTGCCCCTCCTCCTGCCCTTCATCCCGCCATCCACCGCAAAACAATGGCGGAGCATTCAATGGGATTCTCATTGCGCTGCTTGCCATGTTTCTTGTCGTACTTCTCTCTTCTTCCCATCTTCTCCATCTCCCCCCCTCCCATGCCTGCGCAATCAGCCGCTGGGAGTGGACTGGACGGCAGCCATGAGGCGGCAGGCGTCAGTGAGGGAGTATATCCTCGTGGGGGAGAAGGAGGGCGGCATCTGCGGTCATCACCTGCTGACGTGGCGCTTCCCTGGCCTGCTGACGTGGCGACGGGGTTGCAGGCTGAAGCGGAGTAGAGAGAGGGCGGAGGAGGAGAAAGAAGAAGAGGAAGACGGGGAGGAAGAGGATGAAGAGGAGGAAGAGGAGGACGAAGGGGAAGAGGAGGAAGAGAATGATGAGGGGAACTCAGGAGAGTGTGAGCAGCAGGTCAATAACGATGAGAAGGGGAAGGGAGTGGAGGGCGGTGGGGATGGGTGGGAGCGGGTGGATTGTGATTGGATCAGCCAGTGGCAGATAGGGCGGACGGACGAGAGGTGGAGCTGCACCCGCCACTCGTTCACTGTGGCGTTTAGAAGATGTGTGCTGTAGAGGGATGTAAACGCCATGAGCGAAGCAATGCAGTGGAGAGCGGTGGAGTTTGGTGCAGTGCAGTGGGCTGCAATGAGTTGGACGGACGAGCGGTGGAGCTGCACCCGCCACTCGTTCACTGTCGCGTTCAGACGATGCACTATGGAAAGATGAAGAGGTGTTGCAGCGTACTGCAAGTGCAGTGAGGTGTAAAGGGGGGTTTAGGGTGCACAATGCACATCACTGAAGGCTGATGGGGGGTGAGCACATCACATCACATCACCGGATCGTTTTTTCATGCCAAACAGGAGCGTTCATCTCACAGTCACCCCGTGATTCCATTCTTGTCGAAAGAGGCGAAACAGCATGGAAAACACACAATGGGGCTGAAGTATCATGTCCTTAGCATTAGATTGGATGTTGTCAATCATTGGATTGGATCATTAGACCTACAATAATGGGTAATCAGATGTTAGCAGCATGTTATGGTGAATTGGCCGAACTGCATAGTCAGGAACACAGGATTGTGGTACGGTATATGAGTGGCGTCAGATCAAGAAGGCAGGGCGCTCTTTTTTCCTCTGAAATAAAGCTTACATAGCTAAGCCGCAGGGTATGGAAGAATGAAGCTATTATATGGTAAAGGCCAGCCTGAATGAGCTGCGATCATAAACGCCAACCCTCACTAAACCTTAAAACCTTCTAATCGGGAGGGAGAGCACACAATAATTATGTGAATGAGGCAGTGTAGAAGCCTGTATGGTGTATGGGGCCATTCAGACCAGTCATCTTTGCCCAGTCTTATGTAGACCCTCCTTTCCTCCACGTACCCCATATCACCCTCTTCCACGCTTCGTTGGGCAACCCTGGGCCCATCCATAATATTCCTCAGAAGAAATCTACATCTTGATATGCAATGCAACACCAATACAATGTATTCGAAATCAGACACCCTAAAGAATGACTCAGCAGCGAGCTTGTGCTGTACACCAATTATCTATAGCAATCTGGCTGCAGAGTCATGCATGCCTTCTCACATCTAGTATGCTCCACATGGGCCATTTCAGCAATAAAGCCGGAGCAACCAGAGTATGCTGTATATCTATGGCATGTTGTGTCAACAGAACTAGGCAAGAATGATTGAAAGGAGAGGGGTTTCACTAGCAGCAGTTGGGGTACATATAGCAAACCCTAACTGAGTTGTACTCGCTATAGAGCACCCCACTACAGGCTAGACAATAATAACATTCTGACACACCCCCATAGCCAAAGTGGGGTGTAATCAGTACAATGAGCAGGCATAGCAATAGTTCACAATTATAAGCAAAGCTAGAGGTGATCATAGAGGGCAAGTGAGGAGGAGGAGAAACTGTGAGGGCGAGAAGATGAAAGGCGCCGACTGAAGCTGCAGACACACGGGCAACAGGAGCGGCGCGCACAGTGGCTACCGAGCGCACGAGGGCACCGGACTACGGGAGTATCTGGCTCCGCGGCTACGACGAGCACACACAGGAGCAACGGACCCACAGGCGACTGGCGAAGCAGGCTCGCTGGGCTACCGAAACGCGCGAGGGCATCTGGACTTCTGGCGCTGCTGGCGTCACGACGGCTACCTCCACGCAACCTCCCCCGACCGTCCCACGCCCCTCTCACACACCCCCTGCTGACACCCTAGCTCCACTTCCACGGCACCCCCCTTAAACCCTAAACCCTCGGCTCCCACACACCCACCCCCCTCAGCGGCAGCTGCAGCAGTGGGAGACGGAGGAGGAGGAGGAGCCGCAGGTTACCCACACCGGTCACCCCCATGCCCGCCACCCCCAAACCCTAACGCAGGCAGGAGCACGGGAAACAGCAGGGGCGGGGCACGGAGGGGAAGGGAGGCAGCGGGGTGGCTCTTGGGCGCCACGAAGAAGCAGGGCGCGGGCCCCCCGAGGGCGCCACGGCGGGTGACGGGAGGGGGGCCGCGCACGGGCCCCCGAGGGCGGCTCGACGGGCGACGGGAGGGGCCGCGCGCGGGCCCCCTAGGCGCCGCGACGAGGCGACGGGAGGGGGCGGCGCGCGGGCCCCCAAGGTGCCGCGACGAGGCGACGAGAGGGGGGGGGGACGCGCGGGCCCCCAGGGCGCCGCGACGAGGCGACGGGAGGAGGACGACGGGGGGCAGCGCGCAGGTCCTCGGGGGCGCCACGACGGGCAGGAAACCGCCGCGCGCCTCGGGGCGCACGGCGGGCAGAAAACCGCCGTACGCCCTGAGCGCACGGCGGGATGAAAAACCCTAAAAATTTTCCGGCACCCGCTCCGCGCGCGGCAGGAAGAAGACGGCGCGCGCCCGAGGCGTGCGAGAAGCAGAATAGCAGCGGAAGCAGTTAGGTGGCGGGCCCACCCACAGGATCGACCCAAGGGGGTCGACCTGCTCTGATAGCATGTCAACAGAACTAGGCAAGAATGATTGAAAGGAGAGGGGTTTCACTAGCAGCAGTTGGGGTACATATAGCAAACCCTAACTGAGTTGTACTCGCTATAGAGCACCCCACTACAGGCTAGACAATAATAACATTCTGACATGTTGTTTGCGCTGTCACTCTGCATGCCCACGTGCTCCGCACGGGCCACTTCAGCAGTGAAGCCAGAGGAGGCAATAAAAGTCCCGGTTTCCATGACTGCGCAAGACATTGCCTCGCTCAAATGTGCTCCAAACGCCTCCTGCTTTAACTTCACCAGCTCTCCCAGCACTTGATTCATGGAGGGGCGGGAGGATGCGGGCATAGCGGTGCAGGAGAGGGCAAGGCGGGCCCAGCGCAGCAGCAAGTCATCTGGAGCGTCCAACTGAGCATCCTTAAATGCCAATACAGCACCTGAGTCCACCAGTGGGGCCACCTGTCAGGTTGAATGCGTAAACCACATGGAATTTGGTAAAAGAGAATGTTCATAGAGTTTTATGTCAGGAAAGAATATGTGAACACGGACAGGGATGGAAAGAAGAATGGAGCAATGTATGATTATAGGAAAAGCGCTACAAAGACACAAGGCATAATGATAGGAAGGTGGAGCCAGTCACATATCCAAGGAAGAGTTGAGTGTTTATCTTTGTTACACGTTTTCTTACTCACTGCAGCATGTGTCCTGTTCAGTAAGGAGGCAAAGAGCACATGAGCTGGCCTACATATATGTTTGGCTAAGGGCAGGAAGGAAACATTAAAGGAATGGTACTGGCAAGCAAAATCACTTTGTAGTGATGCTGGAATTCCCATATTCTGTGTTGCAATATTCGCGAGCCTTGGGACGATACTGTTCACTGTGTCTCACCCATTGTTTGAGATTGAGTTGGTTGTCCTCCGTTACGTGCACAGCCTTGCGCGCCGTGATGACCACCAGCATCACCACGCCAAAACTGCAAGCCAAGCAACAAAGAAAGGCATCATACTTGAAATCATGATCAGATGAAATCATTTTGTCTATCATTCCAAAAGTAATTATCACCTAAGCCCCTATCTCAGGGAACCAAGCATCACCATGAGTTGATTGGTCAAACATGCATGGAAATGTCAACGTCAGGGATGGACGTCTTTGGACCATGAGGCAAAGGAAACGTGGAAAGCATAAGAAGCCCTAAACCCAAACGCTAACTCCCCTGGAATAAACGAAAACTCATGAACATTTCACATCAGCCTTGGAAGCTTGACCCGAATGGTAATCTGTAGCCAAAATGCTCACCTGCTGACCTTGGCAGTTTTCTCATGCCAATATGCTAACCTACACAGATCCGCTTTGCTCACCTGTGCACATCTGCTGCTGGAGTGGCCTTGTGGGACTTTAAATAGGCAGGGTCCACATAGCCCGGCGTTCCCATCACTCGAGTGGCAGCTCCGGATGTTCCCATAGCGGTGCCTCCAGTGAGTTTCACCAGACCAAAGTCTGCAATCTTGGCCTGAACACCCATCACAAGTATTGACTGGGAGACTATTAAGCCCACTTAAACAGAAAAAAAGGGGAAAGAAGAAAGAAAGAAAAAAGAAAAGAAAAGAAAAAAGGCCTGTTTAATGCAGAGGAGCAATGGTAGGAATCAATCGTGACATGCCTGCATTTTTGCATCAAGTAGAATGTTGGCAGGCTTGATGTCGCAATGCACGATGCTGAAGTCATGAAGATACTGCAACCCCTTTGCCACTCCAATCAGGATGTCAAGCCTTTGACGAAGCAAAAGAGGGCGGGAGACGCCAGGACCGATCCAGCTCTCAAGGTCGCTGTTGGGCATAAACTCGTAAACCAGAATCTGCTCCATAAGTCGTGTGGAGAGGTCGATGTCGATACAATAGCCCAACAGACGCACAAGATGTGGATGGTGCTTGCTTGCCATCTCTTTCACCTGAGATGAAAGGAGATTAAATCGGCAATTGCTTGACAGATGGAAATAACTAGAAATGTGGAATGAACCTATAAACAACAACTCACAGCATGATACCTCTGTTTGGAAGTCGTTGGTGAGCACTCGAGCTCGCTTGACTGCCCACGCTTGATTGCAATCATGAGGCGACACACCCTTGTAAACATCCCCAAAGCTGCCACTCCCTATCCTATTCCCCTCTGCCCACTCTCCTGTGGCCTTGGCCAGCTCTGCCAGGGAGTACTCTCGGCAGACATATGGCCGTGCTGCCTCCCTCTCCAGAACAACACCATCACCCTGCCTCCCTTGTGCTGCTGCTAATGGTAGCGCTGCTGCGGGAGCTGCTGCAGCTGCTGCGGCCTCCCCTTCTGCTGCTGCTAGATCATCATCCTCCTCCTTTGGACCTGAAAAATGTATGAGGGAGTTGGTGGAATTGAAAAAGATAACATAGGCAGGACCACCAAGCACCATGGCTTCATTTCAAAAATCCTGTCAAGTCGAGGTTACCGCTGGATAAATTGCTACGAGAAGATGAGTCCCGTCACATCTGTGGTGAAGAGTTTCGCCGACCTTTTACACTGCCATCTCGGCACCCTAGCTGTGTGCTGTTCGATGTCATGGCAATACTACCTAGCACAAAACTCTAGCCTTCTCATCTTCCCCCTTTGAACCAGACATGACCAGTCCAATCTTGGAAGCAGATAATTCACTAACCGGTTTGACTCGGACCACTTCTCTTTGACCTAGAACCAGTTCGCGTTCGACTGAAAAAAGCAAGGATTTATCATTTCCTCATGCTTATCTCGCATAGAACTGGAGGGAAAAGGCACTCCCGTCCTAGGGGACAGCCGGCATCCACGAGGACCCGGGCTAGTCCATGGTGAAAAAGAACCCATGATATTGCTTTTACACTTGAATGTGTTGGTGATCTTTAGGTTTTGATGCTACTCCACTCATATTTGGTAGATTGCCTTGTGATTGCTTCATTTAGGCTAAGCATCTACGGAAATGTCTCACCTTGAAAAAAACTATTATTTGTTGATTTATTGCCATCCATATTGGTGCTGGTATCACCTCCTCCTGCTGCCCCTTTGATGTGGCATCGTGTGCACAGCAGCCAGCTCAGCAACAGCAGCACGAGGACAGCCACAGCACCAGCAACAGCAATACCAGCAATGGCTCCGCTAGATAAACCACCTCCAGACTGGGAGGAAGAGGGTGTAGGCTCACTCAGAGTTGACATAGGAGAAAGTGGAAAGGGCGTGGGCATTGGAGAAGGGGAGGGGTTTGGCGCTGGTGATGGGGAGGGTTTAGGAGCTGGCGAAGGCGCTGGCGATGGAGAGGGTTTAGGCGCTGGTGATGGAGTAGGTTTAGGCGCTGGTGATGGAGAGGGTTTAGGAGCTGGTGAAGGCGCTGGTGATGGGGAGGGTTTAGGCGCTGGTGATGGAGAGGGTTTAGGCGCTGGTGATGGAGAGGGTTTAGGCGCTGGCGATGGGGAGGGTTTTGGTGCTGGCGATGGGGAGGGCGTTGGCGCTGGCAATGGGGAGGGTACAACTATGGGGTAGGAAGACAGAGACAGGGAAGGGAGAAGGCAATCAGAAATGGGGATGACGGTGGGCCCAGTGAAAGTGGATGTGGGATCAGGGAAAAGAATCGAAGGAAAGCATTGAAAGTTCAATGAGGCGGCATACAACAGGAGTGAAACAATCTATATTATGAAAAGCGGTTAAGCTGCAAATGCTTGCCACTAGAAGAGATTGTTTCGTAGGTGGCAATGCAGTGTTCATGCACTCAGCACTAAATTAAAATTAAGGCAATATGATTTCATGCCACATGCGTAAAGAGCGTCTTACCTGGTGCTCGCTTGTCACACGTGTTGCAGAAGGAGCCACACTGCTTGCAGAAAGCACTTAACCTAGTCTGAGAGACCACGCAGCTGCTGTAGTCAGGAGGGCATGTGATTGCCGTAGAAGATGTGTTCCTGCGTGTGCACACGGAGCGTTCTCAAACCTTAGTTGGGATTTGGCGCTTCCGAACATTTAGGTCTACGTTTATGTACATGGCCCTATAAATGGGCTTACTTTTACTTTTCAGGCGCGAATTTTTCTAGCGTGAAAATGCACTTGTACAATATGTATATATTTGTTCATCGCTGGGACTTTTACAAAAGTATAAATATTATAATTTCAACCAGTATCAGTTAGTAATTTACTGTTACACAATCTATGTAACACGTTTCCAGTGGTGAGTGAAAAGGTGTTTGCAGTTTACCACTTTGGAAAACTGGTTTTGACAAACCACGTATCCGTCGGCTTCACACATTTGTGGGAGTTTCACAGGGGAACTCCAACCCACCTGCCAACATGCTTCACCCCATAGATCACGCACCCTAGTTCCTTTCACAAGTACCTTCATAAAAAATTTCCCCGGTGTAGAAGTTGAAACCGAACCGCGTAAATCACTTCAACACCCACTCGTGTAGGGGATTGTGGAAACGACATAGAATGAGTCGTCGCGCAGAATCTGCGCTGGCAAGATTCGCTACTACGCTTCGGTGGATAAGATTTTATATGTATATATATTTATATAAATATATATATTTCCAGCCCGTATGACTTTACGTAGTTTTATGTGTACAGAAACATTAACGCAAACTTCCACGTAAGCTTACGTTTATGTGACTGCCATAAACGTAGGTGCTGAGAATACGGATCAGAATCAAGTGTCAGCTCTAAGTGTAACGCTTTGGGGTTGCATGCACGTATTGAGACAAATTGTAACACCATACTATACCAGGATGTTTTACATTGGTCTTTTGCCGGCTTTTAGAAACGTCCTGTAGTGGAGGACTGGGCCGGGACAGTCCAAATTTGGTACTTGTGTACCTCCTACCTGTGGCTACCATTACACTTGGGCTATGGTACTGGAACACCTTGTATACCTCCTCTTCATGAAAAGCTTCAAGGTTGTTGTGATGGACAAAGCAACACTTGAACATGCTAAAACGCCTTACAAGTATAGAAGACGAGTGAGATTGCCTATTGTTGGAGGGATTTGACCAGTAATGTTGTTCTGGCTGATGTCACTGCAATGGATGGAAGATAACAGATGGAATACAAACAGTCAAAGCATTGGTAAGAAGATACTCGATGGTGCAAGAGGTGTTACACGTACAGAAATGACAACACGAAGGAATGAACCAAAAATTGGTATTAGAAGACCATAAGAGTGAAGGATGGAAAAAGGAATGGATTGTGGCAGGGGCTGCATATCCTACAAGGCTATTACCTTGCGCCTTCAGCCCTTCCCTCTCTTCTCCCAATCATATTCTTGCGCTTCTTGTCCCCACCTCGTATCTCCCCACGCGAAGGGTGTGAAAGGCCAGTGCAGTTCTCTCCATGGGCTTGAATTGAACGGCCCGTTGTCTATGTCTCATTTGTGTTACACACTGCATGCATTGTCGGTGGCTTACCATGTCCTGATGCATGGCTGAAAGCCATGATCAAGCAAACCAGGGAAAGGGAGATGTTGAAGCACCAAGCAAGAGTGCATAAATGGCGCAAAACACTTGTTAAGCTGTTCATGCTTGCACTGCAACCTCTCTCGGTAGACATAGCCAAAAACAGACCCCAGTTGACCCATGGAAACCGATTCGTGAAGGGTGAATTCAAGCCTTATTTTTACCCCATCAATAACCAGAATAGACTTGAGCTACTAGAACCCTACACTGGGAAGAACGCGAACACTGAGTCCCGCTAGTTTTGGGTCTTCAGCAAGTCCTGTTGCTGCCTGCCACAGACCCATAACTCCCGACCCTTGAGTCGTGTTCGACACATGTGGCTCCAGGAGTGATAAAGTTGGATCGTTTCCTTTTTACCACAGATACATTTGTTAAACCCAGCTGTCTGAACGGCTCGTGAAGTGTTGGAATTGGGTGATCTGACATTGGCAACTTGGTCTCAAACAGGGATTATTAACCTTTCTCTGGTCTCCGCCCTGCCCATATAAGAGTTGCAATATGTCTTGTTGGGTCAGAGTTCTCACAATTCGAGTCGAGTCACTTCCGGTCAAAGTCGAGTTGGGTTGGGAGTTGTGTCGAGTTGAGCCAAGTTAATTGGCTCTTTTCAACTGCCAACTCGGGCCCCCATAGTTAAAAACCTGTGTAATTTCATGTTGGCTTTCTTTCTTTTCCCTTGAAGTCTGAAGATACTCACAAGGATTCAAGGTTGCTCATGTTGCCGATGGTGTATGGGATAGACCCAGTCAGCGCATTGTGATCAAGGGACCTGATGGTAAAACATGATAAGGGTGTTATGGGTGGAAAGTATATAGCAAGAAACAGAACCCTTATTATTTGACACATGATTACGGCTGCATATTTGATAGAAACGGATACAGCAAAACAATTACTACCAAGCACATGCAAAAAGTGCCATGAAAATCATACAAAGGTAAAATATGATTAAACCTAATTGTAGGAAAGGGACTAGTGGGTTCTTCGCCAGCTTTGTCCAGGCTAGTGGGTGACCCCCAGCCTGTCTCTTTGCTGCAGACCACTAGCAGGCTTGGTGTTAAACCGGCCCGTCACAGGCCCCCAGACCGGCCCAAGTGCCAACGGCCTAGCTCAGCTCAGCCCAGTGCCAGCCCATGCTCATGCGTAGCTTGTCCACTCATTCTCAAAACAAGTTGACTTGGTGTCATCATCATAAGCCCCCTTATGTATGCAACTATGCGGGGTCATGCTGGCTCTCTTTTCTTCATCCCTTGATGTTACTCACAATCTAGCGAGGTTGCTCATGTTGCCGATGGTGGACGGAATAGAGCCGGTCAGAGCGTTGTTGTTTAGATACCTGATCATAAAACATGCAAACGGTGTTATGGGTGGAAAGCAATTCTGAATTCAACAAGAAACACAACCACTATCAACGGATGAGGTCAAACCATTGCTATGAATCATGTGTGATGTGAAGGGTGCCACGAAATAAGGCATGGGCATACGACCCAGTCGGGTCGGATATACTCACAATTCCATGAGGTTGCTCATGTTGCCGATGGTGAACGGAATAGACCCACTCAGAGCATTCTGTCCAATATCCCTGATTTTCAAGCATTCAAAAGTTGTATCGCGAGAAATTTGAGTAAGGAAAAATTGTAACAACCAATAACATTTCACCCTGAATGTTTCATTGTGTTCCTTTCAACCTTATTTGCGCTCCCGAGAATGCCTATGCCGACAGTACATGGAAAGCATACAGTTGAACCAATCATACCAAACACACGCAGAGGAATCCTATATTACGTTGCTTTTCAGAGAACAGCTTCACTATTCCTTTCTGTTCTTCATCCTTTCCTTTCTTCATTCCACCCTGTATAGTCCCGGTTTGCCTCAGTCACCACCACCGTGCCGACCTTCCCTGCCCTACCCTGGTTCAGCTCAGCATGGCTGAACCTGGTTTGACCCAGACTGAACCTTGCCCAGCCAACTGTGATGAGTCGATTTTTTGGTCGACAAAAAAATCGACTCATCACATGCTGGTTCAGCTCAGCATGGTTGAACCTGGTATTGCAGTTGATGGGAGATTGAACCTTGTCGGGCCAACTGCAAAACCACGACGAACCTAGTCCGAGGTCTGGCGAAACAAGAAATCCTACGGACCCGGTTTGGCTGCACGACTTGGTTGCATTTAGGCCAGTGCCCACAACTAGCTCAAACGCATTTATGCACATGCTCACACTCATCTGTGCATGCTCCCGCTCATGCTAGATTTACCTTTACTCACAAATAAGTCAGCTTTTCCAAGGCACTGAGGGAATTTGGAATGGATCCGGTCCGGCTAAGCCTTCGTTGACCAGCATGCTGGTGGTGTGGGGAGTGCAATTTGAAAGCGGGTAAAAACTGGGAAAAACGGTAAGATTGGTGAAATCATGCATGTGATATTATCAAGTTACAAGCAGCCCATCTGTCTGGTGTCTACCTGCGCCTACATGCATAGGATTGATAGCAACCCGAGAGGAGCGTTATGGTGTCGTTTTGCTGCACTCGCTGGTTATGAAGAATGGGTGTGCAATAGAAAGCCAAGGAAACGTGCAGAGATTGCCTGTCCAGCAAGGGTTCACTCGGTGAAATACAACTAGTCATTGCAGACACACAGCTCGCAAAACGGTAGAGCGGGAAACAACACAGAAGCACCCAAGTCAATGCCATTAAGAGTCGTTGCACAAGTGGGGGAGATGCACGACCAGCTAGAATTGGTACTCTCACATGCCATTCACCATGCCTTGGGCATCGCAGTGCACATAGTAAGCCATGCTACAGTCCCCTTCAGGAATCCGCACAGAGAGATTTTGGCCCCATGCCTGCTGTAAGTCCTGCAGGACTTGCACTGGTGGGGAGGCAGCAGGTGGAGAAAAGGGGATCGGGAGAGCAGGAGAAAAATAGGAGGAGGTGGGGAAAGGAATGGGAGTGGGGAATCATCACTTCGCATCAACTGTGTGTCTTTCCTTCATCCTGTCTCATCATTCTTCGCCGCAGAACCACGAATGGACGCATGTGACGTGAAGTACAAGTAAATCTTGACTTGCATGTTGACATTAGCCTTAAGGCATGGCGACGTCAACACCTCATGTGAGAGATGGTGTTACTGAAGAGAGGAGGTGTTAACAGGAGAGGTCGATGAGGTGGTAATTTTCGAGAAACTAGTCTTATTTTTGCCATGGGGGAGACGGCCGAGGGGATGGGGATGGGGAGGATATAGAAAAGTGAAGGGGGGAGAAAATGGCCTGCTCCGGAGGTGGTGGTAGGAAAGAAGCCATTAGCTTATTACCTTGGCCTTCCCCTCTCTCCTGCAAACTCTGCACCGGACTTCAGCTAAGTGACTTGGAGGAGATGGACAACTTAACTTTTGTTCCACAGCGGGAACGATCTGCACAGCTTAACTTTGGCTGATCACGGGTTGACCGATCATGGTTTGGGTAGGTGGGACTCATGGATTTGATAAATAGCGCGCCTCGAATCGGATGATCCGCACCCCCGGGCGCTGAACGCAACTTCTGGATTCACCGTTTTGAAATCTGTGGAGCGGCCACAAGAGTCCGCACGATGCCAGTGCATCCCACTCCCATCCAGACGTGCAATCCGCTCCCATCTAGGCGTGCATCCCACTCCCATCCAGACGTGCAATCCGCTCCCATCTAGGCGTGCATCCCACTCCCATCCAGACGTGCAATCCGCTCCCATCTAGGCGTGCATCCCACTCCCATCCAGGCGTGCATCCCGCTCCCATCTGGGCGTGCATCCCACTCCCATCCAGGCGTGCAAGCTCCCAAGGAAGGATTCCACAGTTTGATGGTGTTTCTTTGTTGCTATTTTTTCTTTCTTTTTTCCTTTCTTTCTAGCTTGCCGTGAAGCTCTTACTAGCGCCGAGACAACAACTCGGATCAACGTGTGATAATAAATGAGTTGTCAACCTTTACAGCAACTAAGACTGCATAGGAGACATATTAGGGCAAGAAGCTAGACGAAAAGACAGGAGGAGTGCAGGCGAGGAAGAGGGCCGACTGAACGCCAGTTCGTTTTACATGATGACGTCACGTACCTTGGGAGGCGGCAAACGAGACACAGCGGGTTGGAGTAATGACGGCGAAAGACGTGAGCAGGAAAAGTGAGCCGAGCCAAAAGATGCTGCTGTCCGTTGCCATCGTGATGTACGACTCCAGGAAAATAACAGAGGATAGGTATCTTCCCCGCAGTCAAAGCTGTGAGTTACGCCGCGTTTTGAGACGTCTCAAAAACGATACTTCAAAAACTGAGAATAGTTATCTTCCTGCTCTCAAAGCTGTGAGGTGAACGCCGCGACTTGCGGCAGTAGTTGAATAGTCAAAGGAGTCGCGTAATGTCTGTAGACTGTAAAACGCAGCGCTTAGCCAAGCCCGCGGCGCGCTCTCGCTTCACCACGCCGCCCGGCTGCTGCGACGCAGAAACACTGTTGCCACTCGCATGAGTAGGGGGGCACGCGGGTAAGACTCGTATCCAAGCTTAGTAACGACCGGAAGGTACGCGGAGACACCGAGGTCACCAATGTAATCGTGTATATCTCGAGTTTCGCCTTTTTGCGACGCGTGCGTTCATACTAAGAACCATTCCGCCTTGAAAGGGCGTGTCCAGCTTACTTTTACATATCACTTCCCAGTACAGTTACCACATTTTTTTTAACTACTAAGTTACGTTTTTTTTCAGAATCGTACTCCTCAGACTGTTAAAATTCGGACCCAGTCGTACGTACGACGAGTCGTGAAGATGACGTGGAACGCACGTAACAGATTACACATTCCAATGTCTTCGCGTCAGTAGTGCTACGGTGCTGAGCGAAACGGACACTGCATGTCGCGAACATATGACGAGAACCGCCGAATCTATATTTGCGCTTTACATTTCCGCAAAATTCTTCGTCGATTCTAGTTTCAGGGATGTGCTGTTGCGGCAGTCGCGCATCTCACTGGCTGAATTGTGCTGAGTGGTGGATTGTGCTCCCGGCGCTTTTTTGGAACACAAATACGCGCTGGACACGCCCTAATTACGAAATGTGTCTACTAATGCCTCCCTAAAGAAGAATATTGTAACTCCAGAAATAATTTACTTTCACAATATCACCTCTACAAAAGTCACGGTTGCTGTTTCTACCAATAAAACATGACAAATAAATTACTCATCCATCAACAAATCACCGTGAAAAGAATCAGTGGGCATATTGACGACTCATGCAAAATGCTTCCGTACTCATGCACGGAATACACTTGCCCATGCTTTTATAATCCAAACATGTTTGATTCGTCACCAGTTCACAACAACGAATATTGCACGAAAGGGGCACTTGTATCCAGACAGGGATGGCATGCAGAGAGGATTGGAAGTCGGCAGCAGGTTGGTGGTGCAGGTGCAGGCAGGTGGTTGGTAGGTGGTGTGGGATGGCCTCAGATCAGATTCGCTGTGCTGGGAAGGCGACCCATTTCCTACTTTTGAGGCGCCTCAAATGCGGGATGGCCTCAGATCAGACTCGCTGAGCAGGGTGCAGCCCCATCTCCGCCCCCACTGCATGAAGCAGTGAGGGTTGGTGGTTTGCAGGTTGGTAGTGCAGTTGCAGGCTGGTGGTCAGCAGGCCGTGTGGGATGGGCTCAGATTCGCTGAGCAGGGTGCAGCCCCATCTCCGACCCCACTGCATGCAGCAGTGCACGCAGCGCAACTGCCAGCTCTGGGTCCCTGCTGGGTGCGTGCGGGGAGGGAGAGAAGCCCACGGCACAGGTGACGGGTTGAAGGGGAGGTGATGGGATACATGGGATGATGGATTGGTGAGTTAAGGGAGAGGTCGTGAAATGAAGGGGATATGATGGGTTGAACGAGAGGTGGGATGCAGGCTGAAAAAGAGGCGGTGGGATGAAGAGGGGTTGATGGGTAATAATGGAGGTGATGGGATGAAATGCAATGAAGGGGAGGTGGTGGGATGAAGGGGAGGTGGTGGGATGAAGGGGAGGTGGTGGAATGAAGGGGAGGTGGTGGGATGAAGGGGAGGTGATGGGATGAAGGGGAGGTGGTGGGATGAATGAAAGGTGCTGCATGACGCATGTGCTGGTACTTTGTCTGGCATCAGAGGGAGGTGTTGAAAACGGAATGGAATAAGTCTGGCAGGCAAAGGGTACTCAGTGGCATACGTCTGACACAGGAGAACGGAGAAACACAGACGTCAAGTACGCACACCCGCAAGCTCCACCAATGGCATGCCGCCACGTGGCCATGCACCGAACCCTGGCAAGAATGAGGTCGCATGCGAAGGGGTCGATGGCAAAGAGGTGGGCCTTAAGCCGACTCAGAACACACCGTATCAAGCATCACCTGGCGAGAATGAGGTCGCAGGCCAAGGGGTAGATGGCGAACAGGTGGGCCTTGCGCCATCCCATGCACCCGCCCTGACCATCCGGCAGCACCCGCCACTCACACTCCCCCTCCCTCTCCCTCTCACCCCTACTCTCCCTGACACCATCTGCTCCTTCAATGCACTCCTCCCCAGCCCCTTCCTCGCGCTTTTCCCTGTCCCCGGTGCCAGCAGCACAAGCCGCTGCATGGGTGCGGCTGCCAGGAGGAGTGGCAGTGGGAGTTGCGGCTGTTGCAGGAGTGCAAGAGGTGGAACCAGAGGCGGGCTTGCTGCGAGGTGCAGTGTGGGCCGCAATGCTGTGAGCGAGGGAGGGCGCTGGTGGCTCTGGGAGGGAGAGCGCGGTGAAGCCGTGACGGCGGGGAGGAGGGGTGCAGCGGAGCATGGCGGGGAGGAGGTGGTTGAGGGGGGCAGCGACAGCGGGGTGCAGTGAGATGGCTGTAAGGCCTGCCAGGATGACACTCACCTCCCTCCTTCGCGCCGCTGCCATGCTGCCCGCCCCTGTGATGCGGGGGCAAAGGTGAAGACAGGTGTCAGGGACAGGTGGAAGAAACAGGTGGAGAGATAGGTGGTGGGACAGGTGAAGAAGATTGGCAAAGGGGAATGATATACATGTGAGATGCTTTCATTGCATGTTTTCCTGCCCTCAAAAGCGCTTGGTTCTTTTCTTGTTCGAGTGCAGTGAGCCAAGGTGAAGTGAACCAAGGCTGTGCCTCAGGTGTCATGCTCAAACACGAGAAACAAGGCAACCACACATAGCATCCGTGGCACTGAAGTGGTGTCAACTCGAACTCGTCCCTCAGAAGGATGTCCTTTGCACAAGACAGGCATATGCATCCCCCTTCCAAAGATAGTGGGTGCAGATATCCTCTGCACTCACCGCGCACTAGGCAGTCCTCTGTGAAGCGCTGCAGGCGGCGGCGGGCGAAGGCGAGGAGGCGGGGCATGGCGATGCTCGCGACCTGCACTGCGGAGCTGCTCACTGGGTCGCTTAGCTTGGGCTGCCTGCACGGTGGTAAGCGTGGGAAAGTGTGAGAGCGCGTGGGAGGGCGTGAGAGGGCGTTGAGAGGGCATGGCAGCACACAGGATGCGGGGCATGGCAGCACACAGGATGCGGGGCATGGCGATGCTCGCGACCTGCACTGCGGAGCTGCTCACTGGGTCGCTCAGCTTGGGCTGCCTGCTCGGTGGTAAGCGTGGGAGGGCGAGGGAGGGTGGTAGCCGAGAGAGGGCGTGAGAGGGCGTGAGACGATGTGGGAGGGTGTGCGTTGGCGTGTGAGGGTATGGCAGCACACAGTTTTACATGTGCACTCACGGCCCATACTAGTACAGCACAAAGAATTGCGTCTGCCCCTGCTTCCTGCTCATTCTGCTACTGCTGGTGGTGATATTGATGCAGCTCCAGCAGCTAAACACATGACCTGTCACGAAATTGCAAGAATGATAATGCACCCACGCTGAAGATCAACTGACCCTGCAAGTGGATGGGAAAGCCACTCACCCGCAGATCTGCGGCAGCAGGTGGATGGCAGTGAAGCACACAGGGTGCAGCGTCTCCCTCCACATGCCGCATCCCCCCTCACCACTGCTGCTGTTGTCACCCGAGCTTCTGCTGCCTACCGCATTCGCTGACCCACCCACCATCTCCCCATCGCTGCCTCTTCTTCCACTCCCCGCAGCAATGGCGCTGCTGCTTCTCGTCCTCACCACCACATGCCCACCGTTTCCACTGAAGCCATCGCTTCCCCCTCTTCCCACGCTGCCTGTCGCCTTCACCTGCTCCCCTCGCCCTCCCTGTCCCGCCCCTGCCCCTACCCCTGCCCCACCAGCAGAGCCCCACCCCAGCCAGCTACCCACACGTGCAAACCCACTCAACGGCGCTGCTGCCTTGCCCTCGCCCTTAGGCTCCTGCCCTCCTGAACCAGCACCTGAGCCTGACCCTGAACCTGAGCCTGGGGCTGCAGCAGAGGCAGAGGCTGCAGGAGATGGGCCCGATGCAGTGCGGAGTGGTGAGACAGAAATTGCTGGGGTGGAGAAGGAGCGGGAGCGGTCCGGTGCGGCACGGTGGGATGCGGTGCTGGTGGCGGGAGAGAGGATTCTTGCATTGCTGCCGGTTGCTGCGAGGCTGCCGTTGCCTGCTGGAGCAGCCGCAGCGGTTCTGCTGGGCGCTTCCCCTCCTGATGGGAGAGGACAGTGGAAGAAGGGAAGGGGGAGATGTGCATTGCGTTGTGGAATGGAGAAATACCCTTGGAAGACGTAGCACCAACAAAGGCGATGGTGAAGTGAGCAAGTTTGGAACGACCAAGGCTGTTTGAAAGGTCATGCAAGGCGCCACACGCACCGCGCTCTGAGCCACTGGGCCCTGAACTCGCACGGCCACGCGCACCCCCTGTGAGCTGCACCTCCCCCACGGCCCTCTCTGCCAGGTCCAGCAGCAGCCCCACCAGGCGCTGCTTCACCTGGTGTGGAGAGGAGGGGGTATGTATGAGGGGGAGCAATGCACACGGAAATGTCACTGTGGTGGGTGCGGGCGGAATGACTGTCAGTCACCGCATGCACCGCTCCCGGGGATCCCTACCTGATCAGGAAAGGGCAGCAGAGCGGCTTCAGGCTACAGCAGCAAAGGCGGGTGCACGCACACGTGAGTAGTGCGAATCGTGTGAGCCTGTGTGTGCCATATTCCTGCCCCATCCCCCACTCACCTCCAGTGGCGCGTCTTGGCAGTATCTGAGCACCTTCTCTCCCAGCAGCCGCACCATGCGCTCCTGTAGCACCTCGTCCTCATGCACCTGAGCGGGCGGCAGCGTTTGGACGGACCCAGGCTGCCACTCCCCCGTGCCCATGCCCCTGACTAGTACCCCCTCCCCCGCGCACATGCCGCGCACCACCCCCTCGTACAGCGCCACCAGCTCCTTCCAGAACCGCTGCCGCACTGCTGGGTCCCATGTGGCCGTGGCGCCCGACAGTGCCACGCTCTGCTGCTGCCCCTGCCCCTGCTGCTTCTGCCCCTGCCCCTGCCCGTGCTGCTGCTGCTGCTGCTGCTGCTGCTGCTGCTGCTGCTGCTGCTGCTGCTGCTGCTGCTGCTGCTGCTGCTGCTGCTGCTGCTGCTGCTGCTGCTGCTGCTGCTGCTGCTGCTGCTGCTCGTGCTGCTGTTTCTCATGTGCACACAATCCTTGTGTCTCCTCCACCGCTGCACCACTATCGCCCCTCGAGCCTACCTCCGCCTCTCCCAGCGGTCCTGCCGCGGCCGATCCATGCTTCTCTAGGCTTTCCGGATCTGCTGCAGGCCTTCCGGCGGCAGATGGGGCTTGCTGGGATGAATGGGGACGAGCAGCAGGCCAGGAGGAGGAGGCGGAGGGAGCGGAGGGGGCGGCGGAGGGGGGGAGGGGGAGGAGGTGCGGGGGGCAGTCGAGCAGCAGAGCGTGGTCGAGCACGTCTGCGAACTGCAGCACGGACGTGCGCCATAGGGGCGAGTTTGGCTGCTCCTGCCGCACTGCTAAGCACCTGGGGGGGGGGGGGGGGAAGGAAGAGGGCGGGCGGGAGCGGGAGGGGAGGGGTGGGGGATGAACTGCAGCACCGACGTGCGCCATAGAGGCGAGTTGGGCTGCTCCTGCCGCACCGCCAGGCACCTGGACGGGGGTGGTCGAGGGACGAAGAGGGATGAACGAATGGGGGTTGGACGAGTGGGGGATGATTGAGAGGTTCGTGAAACGCGGGCCGACGAGGTCGAGGCGAACTGCAGCACGGACGTGCGCCATGGGGGCGAGTTGGGCTGCTCCTGCCGCACCGCCAGGCACCTGGATGGGGAAGTTTGAGGGATGAGGGGTGAGAGATGAGGAGCTAGGAGCGAGAGATGGGGCGCGAGAGGCGGGAGGTGGGGTTGAACGGTGAGGGATGAACGAATGGGGGGTGATCTAAGGGGGAGCTGGGCCGGGAGGGGGAAGAGGGACGGGGAGGGGAAGGGAGAGGAGAGGGGGAAGTGGGGAGGGGGAAAAGCGAAGGAAGACGAACCATGACGCTCTCGCCTTCACCTCACGACGGGAAGAACCCCCCCCCCCCCCCCCCCCCCCCCCCCTTCCTCTCACCACTCGTCTCTCCCGCCTCTCCCGCCGCCCACCCCAACCGATGGCTCTCCAGACCGCCGGCCCGAACCATCCCACTTTCCTTTTTCGCGACCCTCCCCCTCTCCAGCGATCCCACTCCGTTTTTCGCGACGCTACAATTTCGTCTGAGACATGTTTAGATCCTCAGGCTAAACTCATCCAGGCATGAGATTGACGGTAACACCCGGTTTCGCGCACCTGCCGAGCCACGCAATGAGGTCTGGAATAGCTTCGGGTGACACCTTGCGATATCCCGAAGCTAGCTCCGCCATGCCGGCCCTCGGCCGAAGCAGGTGAGTTCGGGTCAATCCGTGCTGGCAACCCGCTAAGCGAAGCAGAACGCTGTGGGAACTTACGTGCCACGTGGCAGGTACGCATCCAACTATGTGTACGTGTGTAAAATGATTGGCCTACGCGTCCTTAATGGGCAGATCGGGATGCATTCATTGACGCGAAGTGCTGCGCGCCATTGGGGAGATTCAATATCAAATTAGTGGGCGGCGCTCGCCTCCCTCACATCTGCCCTGATGCTAATCCTCGTTGTAGAGTTTCGGGCAGTGTATCCGTGTAGACATCAAGCAAGCTTCATAAGACAAAGTGAGCTTTGATTACGAAGTGCATGAAGAACTTCTACATAGAGGATATGGATTGCACAAGGGACGGTATATATGGGTACAACACTGATGTGTCAGGGTCCCCTGAAATCAATTCAAGGGCCTGGAGTAATTGCTCTAAATGCTGGTCACATTGTCATTGTTATTTCTGTATTGTTGTTCTCTTTGTACTAGTTGCGACCTACAAAGAAACTGAAATCCTAACCCGAAGCAATTCCCAAGGGGAATGAAAGGAGAACGATTCTGACTTAGGATGATAATTTCCCGCCCGAATTCATCACCGCGACCAAAGCCCAGGATCTGGAATCCCCAAGATTCCATGCGGTCGTTCCTGGTCAATACTCGTTCTTTTCCTCAACACCTGCTCGACCGCTTCAGAATGTACACGAAACGCAAAGAATGCTTCCTGAAACGTACCAAACCGAACTCCTATCCCCCAGCGCAACGAAGTTAGGTGGCTCGCATTCACCGAATCCAGTCGCTAGCTGAGAGAAGGCTAGGAAGCACACAGCGGCTTCTATCCGCGAGCAGGTTGATCGAAGCGTTTTTCGTATTCCGTGACAGATACAAGGTTCGCGTTAGGTTTGCGAAGGCGCAGTTGGTGCGTCGCGGTTGTTCGGTCGACCGGGCCCGCTGATGGGCCGCTTCAGACGTCAACTTAGCGGCGCCGCGCTCGCGCTGTGCCTCATCTCGTGTTTCTCTTACTCTCCTGTCCGTAGTGTGATCATCGACCCTTCCCAAGGTCCGTATTTCGCCTCCGTTTCAGACTCTGCTCCGTCTGTCACGATAATATCACTGTGTTACCACCATTTCGCCGAATCGCGCCACGTCGCCCACCTCCTCAACGCCACCGCACAGCTTTCAGGCTCGATTCACTCCGTCCCCCAGACGGGCTGTTGATTTTCTCCCGTTAGCATTCCCAGTGCGTGCTGCTGGCTTTGGTGTGGCATGGAACGCACTTGCCCACCACCGAGTTGACTTTTGAGTCGACTCAAAAGTCATTCTCTTGGTAGAGCTCTTCGTCCGTCCACCCGTCTTTCCTGCTGCCCACCACCCCTCTCTCATGCTGCCACCACCCAATCTGCTGCCCGCCGCCTGTCTTCTGCACCCCCACTTGGGTGCCCCTGGCCACATGTGGTGCCCAGTGCCCGTGCTGCATGACTGCCAGCAGGCGTGGGGGAGGACGTTCTGCGGGTGGGAGGCAGGAGCCATGTGTGCTTGCCAGCAGGCGGTGGCATGAAACACGACGTCAGGGAAAAGGAATCATTCCGTGTCTCAGGAGTCAGAACCCCTCCCTCCCGCATTCGTCCCTCGCCCAGTGCCGGTGCTGCAGGACTGCCAGCAGGCGCGGGGGAGGACATTCTATGGGTGGCAGGAAGGAGCCATGTGGTCTTGGCATTCTGTGTCTCATAGCCCCTCCCTTCTGCTTTCGTCCCTCTCCCAGTGCCGGTGCTGCAGGACTGCCAGCAGGCGTGGGGGAGGACGTTCTACGGGTGGGAGGCGGGAGCCATGTGTGGGCCGTATGGGCCATCGCCATATGCACAGAACATCACGTGCAACGCACAAGGCATGATCGATTCAATGTAGGTGACGCATGGGGCATGGGAGCGAATCATGGGGCATGGGAGCGAATCATGGGGCATGGGAGCGAATCATGGGGCATGGGAGCGAATCATGGGGCATGGGAGCGAATCATAGGACATAAGAACGACGCATAGGGCATGGGAGCGAATCATGGGGTAAGCATTGGGTTAGGCACTAGCGCTGGCCCTGCACCCCGCAGCACTGACGGACCCCGCAGCACTGACGCACCCCGCAGCACTGACGCACCCCGCAGCACTGACGGACCCCGCAGCACTGACGGACCCCGCAGCACTGACGGACCCCGCAGCCGAGCCTGCACCATGACTGGCCATTTTCACCCCGGCTCCAACCTAGGCATCACGAAAGCTAGCAGTTATCAGTGAAGATATGAGAGTTTCCCCAGCAACTTAATCACAGGCAAATGCGTTGCATCAGTTGCGTTGCGGTGCTCCATTGTGGAAAATTTCAACCTTTGTCCCGCCCCTGAGATGAGTCCTACCTTTGTCCTACCACGGGCTGTTAGAGGCCAGCCGCCCACGAGTTGCCTATGACGTGACGCATGCTCTACGCCGGTCACAATCATTGATTCTTGCTATCGTTTGCGTTGTGCGCACCAGATCTTTGCAGACCAGCCTTCGAACATTCCTGTTTGTGATATTGCATTGGGCTTTTAGTGGGTGTGCCTCTAGCGGGGCCCCAACCCATCCAGCCTGTCGCTGGAAATGTATTGCACAGCCGCGCGTGAAAGCAGGATATGGAAAGTGTGGCTTTCCAGAACGAGATTCCGTGAAAAATGTGAGTCCATCTTCTCTGCTGATATTCACGACCTGCAAAGGCAAGAGTCACTGTGCAAATTCCTCTCTGTATCCATTCTTCCCTGCACCTCCTCCCTCCCTGTTTCTGGCCAACCCATGTGTGCATATTTCAGGGTGCTGACGTATATGGGTATCAGCGGCCTCCTTCCAGAGTCGTTGGGAAGTCTCTCCAGCCTGACTCATCTGTACGTGAGCACTAAGGAGTCTGGCCTGGCATCGGTAAGGTGAATGGAAGGGTGCATGCACCGAGCAACCGTTCTAGCGAAATTACAGCTCTTGCATTGGTGGTTGGCGTTGGCTCATGCGCTCCTAGTGCTTACACCGGAATGCATACAACTTTGCTGTCATTCATTTGTAACTCTCCTCAGTCTTCCTCATTCCTTCTCCCTTTTCTCATGCCCCCACCTCTCGTCCCTCTGCACACTAGTCTGATAGTCCAATCCAATCCAATCCAATCCAATCCAATCCAATCCAATCCAGTCCAGTACTCATCGCAACTCAGTTCGGTTCAGTTTGTCTAATGTAGGCTGTGATTGGGTTAGGTTTGCAACTGCCAGCTATAGATATCATAATAAATTTTCCAGGGGTTAATAATAGCAGTTTCTGTTACAAGAGCTTGTGGTATTTGTTACAGTCTGGCGTGCGGCGAGACAGCAGCAAGGTGGCCTGTCAAGCCTCTGATTGCCCTCTGCTCTTCAACGGATTGTGTTCAGAGGAGGACAGCACACCCTACTACAGCCATATGTGCACACATCAGATCAAAATTCCTTTAAGCTTCTAAGCACAACAACCTATTGGCTGGCTACCCTATATGGTGCTGCATCAGTCCCTCACCTTGCCATCCATGCAATCCCCCTCACGACTCACCAGGTCTCTGGCTCGAAACTCGTTGACGGGGTCCATTCCTTCGACCTTTGCCAACTTGACCAACCTCCAACAACTGTTAGTTTACAACTTCTCCTTTTTCAGCAACGGCTGTTCCCTGCAGAAAAATGTTGTTTTAGGGAGCTGTTGGGTGCAAGAAAGAAACTGATAGTTTTGTACTGGAATTATGAAAGGTACAAGAGCTGGTAGGTGCAGGAGCTGCCAGCTGTAAAAAGTTTTCATTGCAGAACCAACACTGCAGCAACTTTTAGCTGCGTGATCTATTAGCTGCACCAACAATAAGTCAATACAGCTATAACTTTGAAAAAGTGCCTTTTGCAGTATGCTTGAGAGTCGCAAGAATTACAGTAGGGATCATATCTGTGAATGAACATAGCAGGGATGATCTGTGGCTGGCTCACCAGGAGTCGAAAACTCCCGAGCTGGCCTCGTGGCCTGTGATAACCTATACGCGCCATGTCGGCATACTAAAATCAACCAAATTCCGCTGGTCTCCTTCATGTGATTCATTTGCCAAACGCGCGGAAAACCCTCCCATACCCCCCCCCCTCCCGACCCTTTCCCCATCCTCTTTCCCCGTTCTGGCATCCCGCTCCCCCGTTCAACCACTCATGTCACGGCATCAGAAGCCTTGGGTTCAATCAGCTCATGAAAGGCCCCTTTCCAGAGTTTATTGGCAGCCTGGGAATGCTTGAAAACGTGTAAGTGACTGGCTTCGTTGAAATCACTTGTGAGAATTCTGCAAAAGTGAGTTTATTGGAAGCCTGGAAATGCTTGAAAACCTGTGAGTGCCTGGCTTCCATCCATGCATGTGTGTGTCGCACTGCACACTGCACAATGAGTATTTGTACAGCTGTAGCTCCGCACAAGTATTTGTACAGCTGTAGCTCCGCACAAGTATTTGTACAGCTGTAGCTCCGCACAAGTATTTGTACAGCTGTAGCTCCGCACAAGAATTTGTACGTGCCGCTCCAGCTGTAAACCTGCCTTGCAAAGGGTACTGGTGCAGCTACTGCCCTGCACTGGGTACTGGTGCAGCTACTGCCCTGCAAAGAGTACTGGTGCAGCTACTGCCCTGCAAAGAGTACTGGTGCAGCTACTGCCCTGCAAAGAGTACTGGTGCAGCTACTGCCCTGCAAAGAGTACTGGTGCAGCTACTGCCCTGCAAAGAGTACTGGTGCAGCTACTGCCCTGCACAGAGTACTGGTGCAGCTATTGCCCTGCAAAGAGTACTGGTGCAGCTACTGAGTACTGGTGCAGCAACTGCCCTGCACAGAGTACTGGTGCAGCTACTGCCCTGCAAAGGGTACTGGTGCAGCTACTGCCCTGCAAAGGGTACTGGTGCAGCTACTGCCCTGCAAAGGGTACCGGATATTGGCTTCTCATCTCGATGCTCATTGAGTCTAAAGCGCTGCTGTTTGAAATTTAGTTCGAAATGTGTTAATATTATTGTCATCCTCAGTGAAAATCGTTCGGTAGTCCATTTGCAACTACACGCACCATCATTCTGTTAACATTCATCATAACATGCACTAGCATTCCTGCTTGATTTCTTTTCATCTCGTTTCCCCTTCTCCCCTGCTCACTGCCAGAAATCTAGGATCAATGGGGCTAACCGGATCGTTTCCATCCACCATTGGCAGACTCACCAACCTGATGTCTTTGTAATAATTGAAATAATAATAACAAATATTGCAAATTCTCTTTTATCCCAAGAAAGCTGGTTGCTTGCAACTTCATGTCCCCGGATTTCATACATAAATGTTATGTGCAACAAGATGTCTTATTAGTTGGATTGACGTAATCATGTAAGAATCAATTGGCTTCACTCTTGAAATTAATCCCATCCTTGCTCATTCATGCCTATTCTGTGCATTCCCTTGGTCTGTTCAGGGATGTTATTTTCAACAAAATGAATGGCAGAATTCCAGATTCAATCGGCAAGCTTACAGAACTGAGTGCATTGTACGTGGATATGATTTCCCTGTCACTTCCACCATGCGCATTGCACGTGCAACGCGTCGAGCCTGGTTAGCGCTGTTACGCATGGGACCAGGTTTGGCCCACATCGTATTTGTCCCATTCTTCATGAAGGAGTGGCCTGGTTCTTGAGATGCAAGCTATCATGATGCTGCAGGGTGTTTTTGAGAATTCTCAGAAACACCCTTACGCATGGGTCCAGCCTGCCCACATCATGTTTATCCCATTCTGACAGGCCTGGTTCTTGAGATGCAAGCAATCATGGCATGACCAGATTTTTTCTCCACCTGAGATAAAGTGCTCATCTTCTAGTTTCCACCTCGATTGCTCTCAATAAGCATCCTCCCACTCACCAACCGCTAGGTCGAGCCGGTGTGTCTTCCACAGATATTAGTGGCGGCATGTTTTCTCTGCTTGACAGAGGTTATAGTGCCACCTTGTTCACCTTGCCATGATGACATGACTCCTGGCCATTAGGTGCAGGAAAAGCTGTGGGAAAGATGGGCGGGCGAAGGAGAGTGCTGGCAAGACAAGGAGCACGACTTCTGGCACCACTACTCCAGCATCGATGAGTGCTGAAACCTTGCTCGCGAGGGTGTTGGAGTTGACACCAACATCAGAAACGGCTGCTCTCTCTTCCTCTTTCCCTCCCTCTCTAAGGGCCTTCCCCTCTCTCTCTCCCTCTCTCTTTGCCTGGTAACCAGGAGGTGCGCGCAAACGTTGTTGGCTACCGAATAATGTTTGGGAACCAAAAACTGGTCGACAAGGGCCAAAACAATTGGCCTCTGTCAATTGTGCAGTAGGGGGGTTGGGCTTCGAACAAAGTGTACACCCAGAATTGGGTGTTACACTAGCACGACTATAACAGCAATCATACTAACACTCTCTCCCCCACCTCACAGCTACATTCAGGAGAACAACTTCTCTGGGCACCTACCTCCTTCCGTGGGAAACCTCACCAAGCTCTTTGGCCTGTATGGTGTATGGCGCAGTGTGCTGTATGGCGCAGTCATGCTACAGTGTGCTGTATGGCGCAGTCATGCTACAGTGTGCTGTATGGCGCAGTCATGCTACAGTGTGCTGTATGGCGCAGTCATGCTACAGTGTGCTGTATGGCGCAGTCATGCTACAGTGTGCTGTATGGCGCAGTCATGCTACAGTGTGCTGTATGGCGCAGTCATGCTACAGTGTGCTGTATGGCGCAGTCATGCTACAGTGTGCTGTATGGCGCAGTCATGCTACAGTGTGCTGTATGGCGCAGTCATGCTACAGTGTGCTGTATGGCGCAGTCATGCTACAGTGTGCTGTATGGCGCAGTCATGCTACAGTGTGCTGTATGGCGCAGTCATGCTACAGTGTGCTGTATGGCGCAGTCATGCTACAGTGTGCTGTATGGCGCAGTCATGCTACAGTGTGCTGTATGGCGCAGTCATGCTACAGTGTGCTGTATGGCGCAGTCATGCTACAGTGTGCTGTATGGCGCAGTCATGCTACAGTGTGCTGTATGGCACGTTGGCAACCACACAGTGCGCTCCATTCGTTACAGTGACGAAAATGTCACATAGTGCGCTATCGCTCTTCCACTCGACCCTCGTATTACACGCTTTATTCTACCATGCACGGTGCTTTTGCAATAGCAAAGCATAACCAACTATGATTAGCCATATATTGATGAGCATCATTAACAATTTTCTGTGTGGCTGCAGGAACCTAAATGGCACGTCACTAACATGCCCGCCAAGCAATGCGAGCTGTGAGGTTGAGCAGCACCCTGACAGCGCCTTCTGCAAGACATGCCCCGCTTTCTGCTCCTCCTGTGTCGCAGCACCTCCAGGTATGGTAGCACCTCCAGGCGCGCATTTAGTTTCTGTATTATGCTCTGAAAATTTACAATGTATTGTGTTTCACATTCTGCACTTGCTGTTTCTATTCACACACGCATCCCTTTCACGTGATTATGTTATTGCTTAACACACGCATCATCCGCCTCCCTGATCCCCACTCCACATGAGCACCTGCAGCACCCCCCTCAGCAGCCAGCTCAGCACCCCCAACCCAGCCTGTTGTTCCAGCGCCCCCCTCAGCCTCCGCACCTCCAGCACCGCCCATCAACCCCGCACCCGTGCCTTCCTCATCGCAAGGGGGTTTGTCCACAGGAGCCATTGCCGGCATCGCTGTTGCTGCTGTGGCTGCTCTCCTGCTGGCAGTGCTGCTCGCTGCACTGCTGTGGCAGAGGCACGGCCAGGCAAAGGCGTTCTCCAGGGCTGCCCCTGCACGCGAGGAGGGCAGCAAGGGTGCGACTCTCTTCCTAGCTCCATCATTGCCTTGTTCTCCTCCTTTGTCCTTTCTCGCCCACCTCTGTATCTCACACTCCCTCCCTCACAGACCTCTCCTCATCATCCCCCTCTACCCCTTCCCTTCCCTCCAACCAAACCATCTTTTCTCTATGCACTCACCATCTCCTCCCATTCTCCACCTGTCTACGGCTCCTCTAAAACCCTTCCTTAATTTCCGTCAGTAAGCTGTATCGTTGCGAAATTATGGTCTTCCAAACCCCATCACTAAATTCCTGCCAAGGCATCCATCGACTCGAGTCCTTCCAACAACACCCCTACATATATTCCTCAGGAACCCCCTTCCATGCTGTTGCACACGTCCCCTGAAACAAGGTGACTTGCACACGCCCCCTGAAACATTCCTCAATCATAGTTGCAGAGAACACAGAATCGGCGGCATCAGCAGCGGCAGCAGCAGCAGCTGCAGCAGCAGCGGTAGGGAGTGGGGAGGAAGGGGTGGTGGTGGAGGTGGGGGCGGCTCAGGTGGATGTGTGTCGGGAGTATTCCCTGGAGGACATGGCAGCAGCCACGGGGGACTGGGCCGAGCGCAACAGGATTGGCAGTGGCAGCTTTGGCGATGTGTACAAGGGCGTGAACCCGCAAGGAGGCAGCGAGGTGTGGGCGGTGAAGCGCGCTCGAGTGCTCACCAACGACTTCCAGAGAGAGGTGAAGGATCCAAATTCATAGCGGACTAGCAGCAAGCCTGTAGAAAACGCTTAAGTAAAAGGATCGAGGCTGCTAAAATTGCTCCCAGAAATCCAAGAATATGTTAAAACCTTCAAGTTTCTCCTGTGCTCCCTGTGTGCTCTTCATGTGCTCCCCGTGTGCTCGTTGCAATCGGCCATGCCACACCACTGACACATTTTCCCCTTTCACTTTCTCTCCACCGTCATCCCCGGCAGGTGAGGGAGATGGCATCGAAGCACCACCCCAACCTGGTGCGCCTGCTGGGCTACTGCATCGCGTTTGACCCGGCAGCACGCACCATGGAGCAAATACTCGTCTACGAGTTCATGCCCAACCACGACCTCGACACCTGGATCGCGCCAAGTGCCGCCACCCCTCTCTCCCTGCGCCAACGAGTGGATATTCTGATCGGGGTGGCCAAAGGGTTGCAGTACCTGCATGACTTTGGCATTGTTCACCGCGACATCAAGCCCGCCAACATTCTCCTTGGCGCGAAAATGGAGGTAGGTCTGAACCTGCTTTAAGCTTTACGGATCGGAGTGGCCAAGGGTTGCAGTACCTGCATGAGTTTGGCATTGTTCACCGTGACATCAAGCCAGCCAACATTCTCCTTGGCGCAAGAATGGAGGTATATGTTAAGAATGGAGGTACGTCCGAACCTGCTTTGGGTTGTTCGGATCGGCGTGGCAAAGGGGTTGCAGTACCTGCATGACTTTGGCATCGTGCATCGCGACATCAAGCCCGCCAACATCCTCCTCAGCGCCACCATGCAGGCATGCTTGCAGCAATCCCTGCTCGCAGCAATCCCTGCTCGCAGCAATCCCTGCTCGCAGCAATCCCTGCTCGCAGCAATCCCTGCTCGCAGCAATCCCTGCTCGCAGCAATCCCTGCTCGCAGCAATCCCTGCTCGCAGCAATCCCTGCTCGCAGCAATCCCTGCTCGCAGCAATCCCTGCTCGCAGCAATCCCTGCTCGCAGCAATCCCTGCTCGCAGCAATCCCTGCTCGCAGCAATCCCTGCTCGCAGCAATCCCTGCTCGCAGCAATCCCTGCTCGCAGCAATCCCTGCTCGCAGCAATCCCTGCTCGCAGCAATCCCTGCTCGCAGCAATCCCTGCTCGCAGCAATCCCTGCTCGCAGCAATCCCTGCTCGCAGCAATCCCTGCTCGCAGCAATCCCTGCTCGCAGCAACCCTGCTCGCAGCAATCCCTGCTCGCAGCAATCCCTGCTCGCAGCAATCCCTGCTCGCAGCAATCCCTGCTCGCAGCAATCCCTGCTCGCAGCAATCCCTGCTCGCAGCAATCCCTGCTCGCAGCAATCCCTGCTCGCAGCAATCCCTGCTCGCAGCAATCCCTGCTCGCAGCAATCCCTGCTCGCAGCAATCCCTGCTCGCAGCAATCCCTGCTCGCAGCAATCCCTGCTCGCAGCAATCCCTGCTCGCAGCAATCCCTGCTCGCAGCAATCCCTGCTCGCAGCAATCCCTGCTCGCAGCAATCCCTGCTCGCAGCAATCCCTGCTCGCAGCAATCCCTGCTCGCAGCAATCCCTGCTCGCAGCAATCCCTGCTCGCAGCAATCCCTGCTCGCAGCAATCCCTGCTCGCAGCAATCCCTGCTCGCAGCAATCCCTGCTCGCAGCAATCCCTGCTCGCAGCAATCCCTGCTCGCAGCAATCCCTGCTCGCAGCAATCCCTGCTCGCAGCAATCCCTGCTCGCAGCAATCCCTGCTCGCAGCAATCCCTGCTCGCAGCAATCCCTGCTCGCAGCAATCCCTGCTCGCAGCAATCCCTGCTCGCAGCAATCCCTGCTCGCAGCAATCCCTGCTCGCAGCAATCCCTGCTCGCAGCAATCCCTGCTCGCAGCAATCCCTGCTCGCAGCAATCCCTGCTCGCAGCAATCCCTGCTCGCAGCAATCCCTGCTCGCAGCAATCCCTGCTCGCAGCAATCCCTGCTCGCAGCAATCCCTGCTCGCAGCAATCCCTGCTCGCAGCAATCCCTGCTCGCAGCAATCCCTGCTCGCAGCAATCCCTGCTCGCAGCAATCCCTGCTCGCAGCAATCCCTGCTCGCAGCAATCCCTGCTCGCAGCAATCCCTGCTCGCAGCAATCCCTGCTCGCAGCAATCCCTGCTCGCAGCAATCCCTGCTCGCAGCAATCCCTGCTCGCAGCAATCCCTGCTCGCAGCAATCCCTGCTTGCCCAAACCTCTCTCACACTCTCTGCGATCATTGTCTCAACACCCTTGACCCTTATTGAGCCATGATGGTTCCTCTCCTCTACCTTGAGGAGAGTGGAATTAGGTGGGGGAAACGGGAAGGTAGTGTATTGGAGGTACCTGGGAAGCACAGGTTTCCCATTCTGACGTCGGAGCCAATCTTGGGTACAAATGCGCAGACCCTTCTGCAACCCGCATAAATTTCAGCGAGCTGCCCATTGCCTCCACTTTCGGTTCCTTCAACTGCCCAATAAATTTCTCTGTCTCGGGCGTGCTGTGAGACAGCGATCCCATGATCTCCAGCCCCGGGTCGGCGTCCGTATATTCAGCTGCCCGGATCGGCTTATCCTCGGGCAGGGACGATGCATCTGATTCGCTGGAATGGTCCCGCAGGAAAGCTCCTTTCCCAGCAACGGCCCAGTGAGTCTTCTTGAGGCAGGGCGTGTGAACAACTCTTAGAATGGAACGGTCGCCTTTCACCAGAGCAATGTTTACTGTGAACTGTGATGTGCATTAGAGGAGAGAGAGGGAGAAGAAGGGGAAATGGGGACAGAGAAATCACACAAAGCTCCTTTCCCAGCAACAGCCCAGTGCGTCTTCTTGAGGCAGGGGGTGTGGACCACCCCTAGAATGGGACGATCTCCTTTCACCAGAGCGATGTTCACTGTGAACTGCGTTGTGCGTGAGGGATGAGAAGGGCATACGGGGGCGAAGGCAAATGAGAACATGGGAGGGCGTGTGAACCACGCCTAGAATGGGGCGATCTCCTTTCACCAGAGCGATGTTTTTTTACTGTGAACTGCGTTGCAGATTGGGGGAGATAGGGTGGAAGGAAGATGGAGGGATGAGGGGAAAGCAAGGAAGGACAAGAGGAGAATATGGGGAGGTCTGAAATTTTGTAACGTGGAGCAACGCTCAGCGTGAGGCAGGGACAGTTGATTGCAGCCAGAGTTCTCGTATGAAACAATTTTATAGATGGGGTTTCTGTGACAGACAGCTTGCCAGAGATAAAGTTTGTTGCACATGGAGGAGGTGTGGCAGAGACGGAATACACCTCCAGAAGTACACATTTACCAGTCCACGTCTTCCCATGTCAACAAATATTCCGAGATTTCCTGTTCCGGCCTTATTCTACGAGTCACGTCTGTGCCCATCCCCTTTACTGGCTCACCTGTCCATTCCCTTCCCTTTACTGGCCCACCTGGCTCACCTGTCCATTCCCTTCCCTTTACTGGCCCACCTGGCTCACCTGTCCATTCCTCAATTCGGTGCCATAATTGTGCTGCTGCTGTGGTGTGAGTGAGCGCAGGCCAAGATTGCGGATTTTGGGCTGGTGAAGCTGAGTGGCGGCACAGCTGGAGGCACAACAGTGGCAGCCACGCGAGTGATGGGCACACCAGGCTATGTTGACCCCGCCTACTGCAAATCACACAAGGCCACCCCCAAGGCCGATGTTTACAGGTAAAGAGCGGTGCTGAGTGGTGCGAGCCGGTGTCTTCCCATAAGGAAGTATGTGAACTGATGGGCACACCGGGCTATGTGGACCCTGCTTATTGCAAATCACACAAGGCCACCCCCATGGCCGATGTTTACAGGTAAAGAGCGGTGCTGAGTGGTGCGAGCCAGTGTTTTCCTTCAAGGAATTCTGTGGACTGGTTGGCTATGTTATGTTTACTTCGCCTTATGCAAGTCATACATAGCAACCCCTATGGCTGATGTGTACAGGTGAGGAGAGGCCACCCCTATGGCTGATCAAAAGGGTGAAGAAAGAGAACTGATGTGCATGATTGTAATGGACGTGAGATGGCACTGAAACGCGACTAAAATACCATGTGCAATGCAGATTGCCCGCGCCTGGTCATCATCCTCATTGCACAATCGATTCTTTCAAACTATGCTGTTGTTTTCTTTGTGATGGCAGCTTTGGCGTGGTGATGCTGGCGGTGATCACGGGGCGCAAGGCAGTGCAAGAGGCAGAGGACGGCCATATTAACCTCAAGCAATGGGTGAGGCATGAGGGGAGCAATGGGTGAGGCACGAGGGGAGCAATGGGTGAGGCACGAGGGGAGCAATGGCCGAGGCACAAGGGAAGCAATGGCCGAGGCACAAGGGAAGCAATGGTTGAGGGTTAGCAATGCGCGAACTGAGAGCTGATGCTCTTCGTGAGTCCGACTGATCTGTCCCAGCATACCACCACAGCCCCTACACAGCATCGCAGTTGCATTCACACAGCCCCCCTCCTCCCATGCATGCAGGTGGAGCCGTTGGTGGCATCCAATTCAGTTACGGCCTTCAGAGACCCGCACCTGGACGGCCCCGGATGACATTGTGCTGCGCCTGGCCCGCCTGGCTCTCTCCTCCCCTCTCCCTCCTCCCATCTGTGCAGGTGGAGCCACTGGTAGAATCCAACTCAGTGGCAGCCTTCAGAGACCCGCGTCTGGACGCCCCGGATGACATTCTGCTGCGCCTCGCCCGCCTCCCTCCTCCCTCATCCCATCCCTGCAGGTGGAGCCATTGGTGGCATCCATTTCAGTCACAGCCTTCAAAGACCCGCACCTGGACGCCCCGGATGACATTGTGCTGCGCCTGGCCCGCCTGGCTCTCTCCTGCACCGCCATGCCCACGGCCTCGCGCCCCTCCATGGGCAAGGTGCTGGGAGCGCTGGTGGCGGTGAGGGGGGAGATGGTGGGCGAGGAGGTGGACAGGGTGGCGTCGCGCATCGACAGCGAGATTGACACATCCAGCGATCTTGATTTCAACGCTTCCATTGCCCGCGCCCACGAGATTGCCTTGCAGAGCGGCTCCTCTGATACTGTGTGAGCTATGCTTTGACACATCCAGTGTCACCATTTTCTTATGGCAACAACCAAAGCATATCTTGGGGTGGGTTGCTGTTTTACAATGATTGAAAACAATACCGGTATTACTTCTAGCTTTCTCAAGTTCTCAAGTTTCTTGCAACAAAATTATGTACTTATGTAAAAGAAACCTTACCAGCTGGTCACCAGGTTCTGACCAATTAAACAGATGGCAGATGTTCTACGTTCGAATAATAGAGCAGGGTATAGCTTAGCCAATCAGGATATAATTGCTAGTAAGATAGTATCAGACAGGTCCTTATAACTCGTAACTGCAAACTTCTTAGCGGTCCGTCCAGAATGCCCACAGAAACCTTGTCACTGGGCGAAATGAGGGAATGACGAACTCAAGGGTCGCAACGCAAGCGAAGCCGATACATTTCGCGACCAGCAGACGTCCCATTGCTGACACCAGAACCAGTGAAACGCCACCACGGCAGCTAAACATCAAATGACACGTTGCTCATCCCTACAATTCTCGTGGCGCAGATGCTGAAAGCATCTATGACGTGTTGGAGTGACTTAGACGACGTAGCTCCGTAGTATGATTGGATGACGCAACAATTTGAGCTAGCCGAATTGAAACCTAGCCCTCTAACCCCTCTCGCTATGCGATGATGTCGCCACTCTGACAACCCCAGCATGGCCTCAACCATCCAATGGTCCGCGTGTCGCACGCAGTCGCTATGTCGCACAGAGTCGCAGTGTCGCACAGAGTCATTATGTAGCACGCGTTCGTTTTTCCTCCCCCGTATTCCCTCGTCTTGCGTCGTGCCGTTTCGCTCATCTTCCCGTCGACCCGCTATTGTCATCCTCGCTGCGAGCAATGGTCGCAGACACCATCGCCGACGAGAGCCCGAGCCACAAAGACACGTGGCCGATCGTGATAGGACGGCTGGTAATAAGGCGGCCGCTGATAGGCTGATTTCGTTGGAGGGAAAGAGAGGAGTGGAAGTGGGGAGGGGTGGTAAGGTGCAGGGAGGGGGGAGCGGCGTTGGGGGGAGTAGGAGAAGCGACGGGGGGAGGAACGAGGAGGAAGACGTTTGGAGAATGGAGCTGGACCTCGGGCAGGTGAAACAAAACGCGCTGCAAGCGGCTGCCCGGCTGAAAACTTTGCGGGTTGCGGATGTGGGGGAGACGGTCAAGATGGGGGCGGTTGCGGTGCAGAGCGGTGGAAAACGGCTGCTGACGTCAGCGGGGATGCTGGGCGAGCGAGCCAGCGATAGCATGCGGTGAGGGGCGAAAGGGAAAGAGAGTGGTGAGGGGGAGGGAGCGAGAGGGGGGTGAGTTGGGGAGAGAGGTGTGGATGAGACGAGAGGGTATGGAAAGAAGGAAGGTGAGAAGGGGAAAGGCGAGTGTGAGATGATGAAGGGGGGAAGAGTGGGGTTTGGAAGGGGTGAGAGCGGGCAGAGTAAGGAGGATGCAGGGTGCGAGGTTGAATGGGGGGAGGAAGGGGTGGGGGGGGAAGCTGAGGTCGGGAGTAACGGGCGCAGAGGGAAAGGATGGGCGCAGGAGAGGGATGGGCGGAGAGGGGTGGGATGGGCGGAGAGGGGAGGGATGGGCGGAGAGGGGAGGGATGGGCGCAGAGGGAAAGGATGGGCGCAGAGGGGAAGGATAGGCGCAGAGGGGAGGGATGGACGGAGAGGGGATGGATGGGCGGAGAGGGGAGGGATGGGCGGGGAGAGGGGTGGGATGGGCGGGGAGAGGAGTGGGATGGGCGGGGAGAGGAGTGGGATGGGCGGGGAGAGGAGTGGGATGGGCGGGGAGAGGAGTGGGATGGGCGGGGAGAGGAGTGGGATGGGCGGGGAGAGGAGTGGGATGGGCGGGGAGAGGAGTGGGAGCGCAGATAGTGGTGAGTGAAGGAGCGTGGTCGTGACGCAAGGCGATGGCTCGAGAAAACGATAGCGCAGAGGTGCGTGAGGTGAGGGGGGTAGTGGGCAGTGCGTGGGGGGGGAGGGGAGGGTTTGGTGGGAAGGTGCGTGGGGGAGTGCGGGGGCCGGTGCATGTGGGGGTAGGGGGAGGGGAGGGGTACATGGCGGGGTAGGGGGGCGTTGCTTCGGGCGGGTAGAGGGGGCAGTGCGTGCGGGGATAGGGATGGGTGGGACATGCGAGGTAGGGTGGGACATGCAGACTTGGGTGGGATGGGCGAGTTTGGGTAGGGATGGGTGGGGAGGTCAAGGAAGTCAACGCAACGCCCACCATTCCTTTCCCTCTCCCCCCCCCCCCCCCTTCCAACGCGCAATGCCCACCATTCCTTTCCCCGCCTTTTCCAACCCCACCCTTCCCTTCCCTCCTCCCACCTTCCAACGCGCAATGCCCGCCCTTCCTTTCCCTTCACTCCCTCCTCCCCTCTCCCCCCTCCTCCTCCCCCCGTCCCAACATGCAATTCTCACCTTTCCCTTCTCTCCTCCCCCCATCCCAACGTGCAATGCCCACCAATCATGCCATGTGTGCCCTTCATTCGACTTCACTCCTGCTTGCGCCTCACCTCCTCCATCCTCTCTCCTCTGTGCATCCGTCCCCCCCTCCATCCACCTTTTCCTGCACTTTCCTTCCTCTCCTTCTCCGTTTCCAGCACTTCTCCAAATCGCTATCTCTTTTCCCCTTTAACCTCACTTTCCCCTTCCCGCTCTTTCCCCTGTCCCCTCCCCCACCCACCCTCAGGCGCAATCTCTCCTCCCTCACCTCCTGTGTCTCTGTCTCTCCTTCCGGCCGCCTCTCCCTCTCCTCCGCCCCTCCTCCCTCCGCCCCCTCCTCCTCCTCGCCTCCCTCCTCTCCCTCCTCCTCTTCCGTTCCCGCATCCTCCCCCTCATCTCCGCCCTCCTCTCTCTCCTCCTCTCCCTCCCCCTCCTCTTCTTCCGCCTCCTGGGCTTCCGCTGGGCGGAGGGGGATCTCACCTGGGGGGACTGGGGGTGGGGGAGCGGCGGGGGGAGGGGCAGGGGGAGGCGGGTGGTGCGGGACAGGTCGATGGGGGGAAAGGAGGTGGTGGCGTCTGAGGGGTGGCGCAAGTGGTGGGAGGGGGTGGGCGGAGGGGGGGAGAGCGGGCGGGATGGGGGGAAAGGGATGGCGGGAAGGGATGGCGCAAGTGGTGGTGGGGGTGTGCGGAGGTGGAGGAGGGGAGGAGGGGCGAGGCAGAGCGGCGTAAGTCCGTTGGATATACCAGCAGAGACATCACGGTCAGAGAGAGAGCTAAGGGCGTTGGGTCTGCTGGCAGGGGAGGCGGGGAGTGGAGGGCGGGGAGGGAGGCTGACGGGGAGGCAGGAGGAGCCTTTGTGGTGGAGGGAGGCCTGCAGTGGTGCTGCAGGGATGGCTGCCTCTGCCTCGCCTGCTGTAGCGCCTGATATGGTGCCAGTATTAGCATCGGGAGGAGGAGCAGAAGGGAGAGCAGCAGGGGGTGGAGCATGGAGTGGGGCGAGGGAAGGCAGCGAGGAGGCGAATCTCGTCGTGCAACGTGAGTCCTGGCCTGACATGACTGCTCCGTTTCCTGCTTGCTCCCTGCCTGCTCATTGCTTGCTCCCCTGGCTGCTCCCTGCCTTGCCTTCTCCCTGCCTGCCCGATCCCTGTGTTCTTTCTGCCAGCCCACTCCCTGCCTGCCTGCTCCTTGCACGCTCCCTGCATCTCCCACCCCTGCTGCCCAATTTCCTCTTTCTTGTTCTCGTCCGAATACCTGTCCCTTCATTTATCACATTACGCTATGTGACATCCCTCAACCCTCTCATTACAATCCTCACCTCATCTCACTCCCCGTCTCCCCCCCGCCATCACAACAAACACCCCGACTCAATCAGGCATGTTGAGTCAGCGGCTGTTGGGTCAAGACTTTAATGCCTCAGACATTCTCCAGGTACGCACATGGCATGCAGGGCAACTAGTGGCTTGTGCCCTCTCTTTCACTCCAGCAGCAATGCAGGATGCTACAATCAACCTGACATCATCAGGCATGTTTGAGTCAGCGGCGGTTGGGTCAAGGCTTCAACTCCTCCGACATTCTCCAGGTACGCACATGGAAGCACGTGACATGCATGTGGCATGCACTTGGCATGCACGTGGCATGCACGTGGCATGCACGTGGCATGCACGTGGCATGCACTTGGCATGCACGTGGCATGCGTGTGGCATGCACGTCGTATGCCTGGCAGGTGGTGGCTTTTGTGTGCGTCCCTCCCAACACCTTCCGCCCATCTGTTTGTGCATTGCCATGCACTATTTGGTCCCTTTCGTTCACCAACGGAACCTAAATGGAGGAAGGCGCCGTTAACGTCCATACGCTCGCCCTCCTTAGCGTCTTTCTCCACTTAGCCCGAACCTTGGCCATCTCACTCTATTTGCTTTCCTCAATGAACCAACAAACAAACACATTGTGACGACTGTTAACTTCGCTGAAGCAGCCTGATGAGAGGCCCTGCTTAAGTCGCCCAAAAATTGGCAGCAAGGAGGCGGAGGAAACAAAGGAGGTCTCTGAGGCCTGTTCTTGTACAAGAAGAATCCATTATTGAATTTGGTGACCTCAAACATAGCCACCGCGAATCCGGCCCGGCTATTTCCCGGTGGGCTTTAATGATGCTGGAGGGCGGTGGATGCACCTTGGCTACGTCTTCGGCCAACGGAGTAAAAGATTTGGCCCCTTTTCTCATGCATGTTCCTCTCCCCACTCACCTTTTCCTCCCAATCCCAACCCCCCCCATCAGCTGTCCACGGCGTATCGTCGCAGTGGTGCCACGGTGGGCATCGGTTCAGACAACATCCTTTTCAGGGCTGCCTTCCACACCGCCTTTACTGCCCCGCCGCTGCTGCTTCCTCTCCCTGCTCCCCGTCTTCCCGCTCCGCCCTCAGCTGTACACGGCGTATCGTCGCAGTGGGGCCACGATGGGCATCGAGGCCCACTCGCCCTCCCCCCACTCCTCCCCCCCCTCTCCCTTCCCTCCCCCATCAGCTGTACACGGCGTATCGTCGCAGCGGGGCCACAGTGGGCATAGAGGCCCACTCATCCTCCCCCCGTCTCCTCCCCCTCTTCCCCCTCCCCCCTCAGCTGTACATGGCGTATCGGCGCAGTGGGGCCACGGTGGGCATCGACTCGCAAAACAGCCTTTTGAGGCCTGCCTTCCACACCGCCTTTACTGCCGCTGCTGCTGCTTCCTCTCTCCCTCCCCCTTCCAATACCAACCCCCTGATCAGCTGTACGCAGCGTATCGGCGCAGTGGTGCCACGGTGGGCATCAACTTCTAAGGCGCCTCAAAAGTTCCCACTCACCTTTCTTCTCCCAAACCCAATCCCCCCCTCAGCTGTACACGGCGTATCGGCGCAGTGGGGCCACGGTGTGCATCGATTCCGACAACAGCCGTGACGCACTGTTCAGAGCTGCCATCAACACTGCCTTCTCTGCCTCTGCTGGGTGGGTGCATGCATCCCCCCTTCCCCCATCCCTGTGCTGCGTCTGCATGCTCCGATGCATCAAACAGCCGTGATGAGCTCTTCAGAGCCGCCATCCACACCGCCTTCTCTGGCGCTGCTGGGTGAATGCATGACTCCCTTCCCCATCACCGCGCCTGCATGCTCTCCTTGCCTCCTAAAAGCACCATAGCACCATAGCACCATAGCACCATTAGCGCCTTTTCCAATGCCGCTGGGTGAATCCTCACCAATGTAGGTGATGCCATGCCACCTCTCCGGTACTCCTTTCGCCTGCTTCCATGCTCAAACTTATGCTCCCCCTGTCATCGTTCCATGATCGTTCTGCCTCCTGCCATAACTTCTTCCAACCATTCCCATCATGTTATTCCACTCACCATTTCTATACCACTAATTGCTCTTCTCGTTTCTTCCTTTGCCCGTCTCCTCAACCCCTCAGCAACCCCATCCCTCTCCTCCCCCCAGCAGACATCCCGCACTTCCTCGCCTGCCTGGCAGCAGCCATCCGACTCCCTGCCTTGCTGTTTCTCTCGCCATCTTAACACCAGTGGTTTCTCTCTGTGTTCCATCCCATGCTCGTCTCCACCTCCCCAGCGGCCCCATCCCGCTCCCCCCCCCCAGCGGACATCCCACTCTTCCTCGCCTGCCTGGCAGCAGCCATCCGCTTGCCCACTTCCCTCTATGCTGTTTCACTCCCCATCTTAAGACTATTTCTTGCTTCCTCTGCCCATCTCTCCACCCCCCACCCCAGCACCCCCATCCCGCTCCTCCCCCCAGCAGACATTCCTCTCTTCCTCGCCTGCCTGGCAGCAGCCATCCGTCTGCCCTCTCCCTGCCTTGCTGTTTCAGTCTCCATCTTAACACCACGAATTTCTCCCTTTATCCCATCTCGTCTCCACCTTCCCAGCGCCCCCATCCCCCTTCCCCCCACAGCGGACGCCCCTCTCTTCCTCGCCTGTGTGGCAGGCAGCAGCCATCCGTCTGCCCCCTCCCCGCCTTGCTGTTTCAGTCGCCATCTTAGCACCCTTTGGTCCATCCTCTACCCGTCTCCCCATCCCCCAGCAACCCCCTCCCTCTCCTCCCTCCAGCGGACATCCCTCTCTTCCTCGCCTGCCTGGCAGCAGCCATCCGTCTGCCCCCTCCCCGTGCGCTCACCATGGTGCTTGCTGCTCTTGCTGCCCGCACCCGCTCCTCCTTCCTGCAGTCCTGGGTGAGGGGCAGGCTTGAGTGAGAGGCAGGCTCGGCTTAGAGACAGGTTTGGGTGAGAGGCAGGCTCGGCTTAGAGACAGGTTTGGGTGAGAGGCAGGCTCAGGGTGAGAGGCAGCCACTGCACACCTGTTGTGCTGCAACCTGCAGCAGCCATCCGTCTGCCCCCTGCCCGCGCGCTCACCATGGTGCTCGCTGCCCTTGCTGCCCGCACCCGCTCCTCCTTCTTACAGGCCTGGGTGAGGGGCAGATTTGAGTGGCGGGTTTGGGTTAGAGGCAGGTTGGGGTGAAAGGCAGGCTCAAGGGAGAGGCAGGCTCAAGGGAGAGGCAGGCTCAAGGGAGAGGCAGGCTCAAGGGAGAGGCAGGCTCAAGGGAGAGGCACGCTCAAGGGAGAGGCAGGCTTAGGGGAGAGAGAGGTAGGTTCGGATGAGAGGCAGGCTCAGGTGAGAGGCAGGCTCGGATGAGGGTCAAGCTCGGGTGAGAGGCAGGTTTGGGCGAGAGGCAGGCTCAGGGGAGAGGCAGGCTCAGGGGAGAGGCAGGCTCAGGGGAGAGGCAGGCTCAGGGGAGAGGCAGGCTCAGGGGAGCGGCAGGCTCAGGGGAGAGGCAGGCTCAGGGGAGCGGCAGGTTTAGGGCGGCAGGTTTCATGGGGGAAGGGGGAGGACGGTGGGGGGGAGGGACCTTGTATCTCCTGCTTCACTGAACATCCAAATCACATCCCTTCTCCCTCTCATGTCCTTACCCCACTGGTGCTACATTTCCACCCATTTCTCTGCACGCACGGCCCGGCCCCCAAGCCCAGTTGTGAGTCGACTCAAAACTCGACCCATTTCTCTGCACCCACGGCCCGGCCCCCAAGCCCAGTTGTGAGTCGACTCAAAACTCGACCCATTTCTCTGCACGCACGGCCCGGCCCCCAAGCCCAGTTGTGAGTCGACTCAAAACTCGACCCATTTCTCTGCACCCACGGCCCGGCCCCCAAGCCCAGTTGTGAGTCGACTCAAAACTCGACCCATTTCTCTGCACCCACGGCCCGGCCCCCAAGCCCAGTTGTGAGTCGACTCAAAACTCGACCCATTCCTCTGCACGCACGGCCCGGCCCCCAAGCCCAGTTGTGAGTCGACTCAAAACTCGACCCATTCCTCTGCACGCACGGCCCGGCCCCCAAGCCCAGTTGTGAGTCGACTCAAAACTCGACCCATTCCTCTGCACGCACGGCCCGGCCCCCAAGCCCAGTTGTGAGTCGACTCAAAACTCGACCCATTCCTCTGCACGCACGGCCCGGCCCCCAAGCCCAGTTGTGAGTCGACTCAAAACTCGACCAATTCCTCTGCACACACGGCCCGGCCCCCAAGCCCAGTTTTGAGTCGACTCAAAACTCGACCCATTCCTCTGCACCCACGGCCCGGGCTCCAAGCCCAGTTGTGAGTCGACTCAAAACTCGACCAATTCCTCTGCACACACGGCCCGGCCCCCAAGCCCAGTTTTGAGTCGACTCAAAACTCGACCCATTCCTCTGCACCCACGGCCCGGGCTCCAAGCCCATCCCATCCCGCCCCTCGTCCTCCCCTCATCCTCCATCTCATCCTCCCCCTCGTCCTCCCCTCATCCTCCATCTCATCCTGCCCCTCGTCCTCCCCTCATCCTCCATCTCATCCTGCCCCTCGTCCTCCCCTCATCCTCCATCTCATCCTGCCCCTCGTCCTCCCCTCATCCTCCAGCCCATCCTCATCCACCTTTAACCTGGCAAACCGGGAAAGTTGGGATGTCTCATTTGTTTGTTAAGGATTTTATTTTGCCGGGCGTGTGTGAATCTTGCTTGGTTTGTATATATGCTAGCGAGTGTACGCAATATGCAAGCTACAACATACGCAATATGCGACCCCCATGAGGGTATCTGCCTACATAGCATATCCATGCACCACACAATACACAACATACACGTCATGCATCATGCACACGTGCATTTTATGATTGATGCATCTTACACGCCATGCATCTCACATGCCATGCATCTCACACGCCATGCATCTCACACGCCATGCATCTCACACGCCATGCATCTCACATGCCATGCATCTCACATGCCATGCATCTCACACGCCATGCATCTCACATGCCATGCATCTCACATGCCATGCATCTCACACGCCATGCATCTCACACGCCATGCATCTCACACGCCATGCATCTCACACGCCATGCATCTCACACGCCATGCATCTCGCACGCCATGCATCTCACATGCCATGCATCTCACATGCCATGCATCTCACACGCCATGCATCTCACATGCCTTGCATCTCACATGCCATGCATCTCACACGCCATGCATCTCACACGCCATGCATCTCACATGCCTTGCATCTCACACGCCATGCATCTCACACGCCATGCATCTCACACGCCATGCATCTCACACGCCATGCATGCTGGCAGGCACTGGTGAAGCAGAATCGGCGCAGTGAGGCAGAGGAGGAGCTTCAACGCCTTGCCAGCATTGCCACCACCCTGCCCCCTCCCCCCAACTCTGTAAGCCAATTTTCCAATGCCGTGTATTCCACCCCGCATCACCCCTCATGTCTCATTCTCACTGTGCTGCATACTACACAATTATCTCACCCCATGCCCCTCCCACCCCATGCCTCCCACGTGCACCAGCGCTGATGGTAGGAGGGAATGGAGATGGGGACAGACAGGGGGCTGGCATCACTGCACTCACCACTCCTCCCTTTCTCACCCTCCTCTTCCGCATCGATGCCCCGCCTATGCGCCATGAACCAGCAGGCAGAGGTGGCGATGGTGGCAGGGGGGCTGACACTGTCACACTCACCTCCCGCTACCCCCCCTGTGACATCCCCCCTCCCCTCCCCTCCCCTCCCCTCCACTCCCCTCCTCTCCGCTCCCCTCCCGCCCCCTCGCCTCCCACCACTGCCTGTGTGCACCATGTCTGGCAGGCGGGGGTGGAGATGGTGACCTCAGTGACGCCGCCTCCTCCCTCCCCTCCTTTTCCCATGCCCTCCCGCCTGTACTTGCACCCATGGCGCACCGGCAGGCAAGATGGAGAATGATGGCGGAGCGGCGCGGCTGGCACAGTCACCTCCCGTTGCTCACTCTTTGACTCCTCCCCTCCACTCCTGCCCATGCCCCTGCATGCTTTGGCACCGGCGGCAGGCGGAGATGGAGATGGTGGCGGGACGGCAGGGCTGGCAGCACCAAACTCAGCTCCTGTTCCCCTCTATGTGACTCCCTCTTCCCCTTCCCTCCGCGCCCTTCCTTCCGCCCTCATATCTGCATGCATTGGCACCGGCGGCAGGCGGAGATGGAGATGGTGGGGACGCTAGCACTGGTACACTCATCTCCTCCTCCCCCCTCTGTCACACCCCCCCTCTCCCTGGCAGGCGGAGATGGAGATGGTGGCGGCAGGGCTAGCACAGAGGATAAGCCACAGGGAGAGGGAGGAGCTGCTGTGGGTGTACTGCAGGGCGGGCGGGAAGGACACCAGAGACGCCATGGCACGTGCCCTTGGCCTGTAGCAGCGTTCCTGTGGATTCCTTGGGTGGATGGAGGTTGCAGGGCGGAGCCAAGCCCAGGAGAGAATTCTGGATCCGTAGAAGAGTTTACGAGCCTTATGGAATGCGGAATGTCGGAGAACCAGAGGTGGTTTGTAGGGTATATTAGAATTGCAAGAACACGACACGACGTTGCGGTTCATTTGGCTTCTTTCAGATGCTGATTCATTGTCAGTCCGGAAACCCATCAGGTGCACCCTCACATTCCATCCTGTCATTGTGGCAAGATCTTTACAAGGGAATTAGAAAGGACACTGCCTGAACTGAGAGGCTGGTGCTAGAGAGCACAACCCGTCATGAAAATGTACGGTAAAACTTCCCGCCTTTACACGTGTGTGGCAATACCCAAACACAGCGAGGTGAACCGTGAATTTATCCAACAGGTTACGGAATGACGATATCCTGACTACCAATTGCCACACGAGGCAGATACCTCGTGATCAGCAGATCCAACGCATTGACGTTAGTTCTAATTCGCATCAAACGGGGCAAGCCCATCAGCTTCCCCACCCCTTTCTGCGTCACAGTCGAATCCCACAGGTCAAGCCGCTCCAGTTCGCTAAACTGCGCAACCTGCTCCATACCAGCATCGGTCACACCAGGTGGCACTGCCAGGATCTTGAGCTTGGTAAGGGAGAGAAGATATTGCAACCCGTCGTCCTTCACCCCAGTGGAGCCCAGGTGCAGGTCTTCCAGGTGCACCAGCTTCCCCACGTGCACCATGCCAGCAGATGTGACAAGCCGGCAGCCGACCAGATCTAGCAGCGTCAGGGAGGAGAGGGCTGCCACATGCTGCAGGGCAGCATCTGTCACACAGGTGTTCACGAGGCTGAGAATGTGAAGGGTGCTGCTGAGCACCCCAATGCCGTGCAGGGCATCATCTGAGATGGGCGTGTTGCGCATGTCCAGCCCTCGCAGGTGGGGCAGCCTGTACAGCTGCTTGATGCCCTCGGCACTGAAACCCGAGGAGCCATCAAGGCCGATGGACTGCAGGTGTGTCATTTCGGAGATGCGAGCAAGGGCTGAATCAGAAAGGCATGAGATGTTCTTCGCGTCCAACGAGGTGCGAGCTGGTGCTGCTGAGAGGACGGCCTGAGAAGGGTTCAGAGGGAAGTGCCCCAAGGTTATCATCACAATCATGATAGAGCACGCGGCAGTGCTGGTTTGGACACGTGATGACAAGACAACCACTAGCAGCAGCAAGAGCACCCCAACCACAGCACCTGGAGCAGACACATGTGGCACCCTGAGCTGAGTGACCCAGCCATTGACACCACCATCCATAACACTCACAAGAACATACCTCCCATATCTTCTCAGTGTCACGTTTCAGTGCGTCGAGCTCCATTCTCAGCGCTGCCACCTCTCCCATTGTGGTTCCCAACTCCTGCAAAGACAGTCACACAGACCAATGAGCGCTCTACGTGCAGTACAAGAGCATTCCTTATCTTCGTCTGGCATGCTTCCGTGCAGCAACCGTATGGCCTCAAGCACCCAACTGCAAGCGTTGCTTACCAGCTCACGGTCTGCAAGAGTCCCCTCCAGCACCAACAGACGATCCTTGTGCTTTCCCAGTTCCGCCTTCACGCCCACCAGCTCCTCCACAAACCTTTCTTCCCTTCCCTCAGCTTCCTCCACCCTTTTCCTGGTTGCTTCCAGATCCGTGGCAAGCGCTGTCAGTGTCATCTCCAAGGCCTCTTGCCTCTTGTGCCATTCACCGCTCTGCACTAAAGTGGTCTCGATGGCTTTACTTGCAAGCTCCCTGCGTGCGGGATGGGAATACACGGAATACACCAGGGAATGAAAATTTATTACAACATAATAATACACATGAGGGAAAAAACAAGAAAGAAAGAGAAAGAAACTCATGCAAAAACATGTATGCATTGAGAGCTTAAGGGATACATGCCCGAAACGATGCACAGCTGCAAGGCTGTACTGATGAGGAGCGAAACACGCACAAGCACCGAGAGAATGACACTAAGATCTGGGTATCGTGGTACGCATAAAGAAAGAAGTGGAAAGCAGGCGGACATGAAGAGGGAGGAGCTCCGGAGGATAAAGGCCATGAGCAGCCCGTTGACTGCCGCATCCTCTTCTGACACGCGGGCCATGGAAGGCTCAGCTGGAGACCTCGTAGCACGAGGAAGGAATCTGAAGCGCATGGGCGGAGGACGGAACCTGAGATATAGGGGAGGAGGAAGTGGGGGAGTAGACAGAGAGAGGAATAAGCGGGTTTGTCGGAACTGGAGGTGGCAAAGCGGACAACCACAAAATACATGATGGAGTGAAAGCGCGACGGAGAGGGCGAGAAATGGGCGGGGGAGGAAAGGAGGGGAAGACACGAATTGCATGGGAGGTGAAAGAGAAAGTTTACCTCGGCTATTCTGGTCAATGGCGTGCTTCCTTCAAGGCGGATTTATCCTCTTTAGCTTTGCACCTTGAAGAATCGGCCTCAAGCGGGAAGCACCTGCAGCAGGCATGGTAGACAGGTGGTTTTCGAAAAGCAAGGGGGCAGAAACAGGGTCTCAGCGCAAGACATGGGAATGTTTTAAGGTAGAGAATCAGCGAAGTCACAGGTAAATTTGACGAACAAGAGTGGGCACGTGTGAATGGGAAGGCGACGCTGGCCTTGCCTATCCTCGTGGCTCCATGCGACGTAAACTTGTGGAACGAGTGAAGGCCCAAACGTATGAGCAATAGGAGAAGAGAAGCAAAGTGGAGATGGCAAGGACTAAAAATGGAACGAGGTGAGAGTGGCGCGTGAGGTTGCTCAATCGGAAGCTGGAGGACGATCAGCGGAAGAATGAAGGCGAGTTTGAACCGCGAGATATGCTGTTATCGCAAGAATAGATATAAGGTCCGATTGGATGAGGCGAGGGACTCTTTTAACGGGTGAAATTATGGAAAGAACAACAAAGGAGCCGTGCGTGGTGTGCGGGGCCTGACGGGATTTGCGAGTCGCATCCTACCTTTTGATACGACTCGCTGTGATCCCAACGCGGGATGAAGGCGTGACGGCTGTCAGTCATAGCCGCGCCGCGACGTGAGACCATGAACGTTGTCGCACAGCATTGGCGACGGCCTGTGCCTGTGGCATCCATGCGGCCTGTGGCGAAATGGAGTCGCAGCGGTGCTGTTGACTATGCATGAATCGGCGTTCAATCATCGCCGAAATGCATCTCCATTGCCTTGTCCTCGGCATTTTCATCTCCTCTTCGCTAATCGTTCCCCTTTGTGCACCCCGTAGACGATCGACTCTATATAGCACATTCCGCTGCCGCATGTTCGATCCGTGCAACTAGGAGGGGGCGGGATGTCGTATATTGCTCATTCTATTCCTTTTGCAACGACTCGCGCGCATCACATCAGCAAACGTGAACAAGGCGTGGGACAATGATAATGTAGGCTAGGATCGGTGCTAGTGGGTGAGTGAAGGAATGGAATTGAAGGTGAATCCAGGCGATGGGCGATGTAGGTTGCTATACATGTTGGCAGCAAGATGTCGGGTTGTACAAGTTTTTGTGTGCTCCCTGCGGTCAACTTCGTTTCGTTTCGGTGCAAAACGGTCAAATGTGATAATCGCTTTCCACCGTGTGGAACCGTCCTGAGCCACATTACAAGAACAGCGAAAGCAAGAGAATGATGCGACCTGACGTCGCCCTTACTCTAGCGATGGAATTGCTGATTTCGCTAAGCCGCTTGATGCTGTAACGAAGACAAACCGCTTCGTGCACTCGTGGTTGGACCAATCAGCGACGCGATGCCACGTCAATGGCAGCCTGATTCCACTGTTACGGTTTTACTGGTGCTCTCACTCCACTCCACACCTTACGATTTTTAAATAACCGTACCAAACCTCCCTGAACCAGCCTCAGGCTCTCGTCCCCAAGAATGCACCGCACAATGCACACCCAGCTATGACGGTGCTCATATCCAAGGGAAACTTGGACCTTGGCGTGGCTGAGACCTAGATCCCAACCCAACCTAGATCACTCACCGCCGTCGCCGTTTCTACGTGCTCGTCGAGATACCGAAGCGTGTGCGCAGCTTAAACACCGAGATTTGCGCGCGTCGAACGCGCTCGAGCTAGTTGGCGCTGCTCGACCTGTTCGTCTCGCTCATGATTCACGCGGTGCCGCGGCGACAGTAGCCATGCCGTACATCCGACAAGGTGGGCCTCGTAGGCTGTTAGGGTTCTCAAGGTGTGTGTCTCATATTCCGCTCGACCTGTGCGCCGCAGTGCTGCGGCGACACTAGCCATGCCGTACATCCGACAAGGTGGGCCTCGTAGCGTAGCGTGCTGGCGCTCTCGGTGTGTTGTCTGTGAATCGGTTTGTGATTGAAAAGAAGGACGGATATTCGGAAGCGAGCACGAGGTATGACCCCACGCAACCGTTGACTTCCAACTTGACTCACAAGCCACCGCAGCGGTGAGCGTGCGGAGCGGGGAAGGAGAAGATTTTCAAGCAAGTGATTGCGTCGTCTGCTCTGCGCTCACCGCGCAGCTCGCCTTTTGAGGCTCCTCAAAAGTCGCTCACCGCGCAGCTCGCCTTCGCGTCCACCGTTCCTCCCCCTCGGACCCTCTCGTCTCTGCCCGCCCGCTCGTGTCGTCCGACAGGCCGCAGCCACCCGTCTATATTCCGGTTTCCCGAGTCTCGCTTACCCTACGTGTCACAACCTTCTTAGTATCCCACCGGGGTTGTCAGTGGGAGCCTTCCAGGAAAACCCACAGTTCACACAACCATCTCACTTGTGCGTCTGCGTCTCAACAGCGCCGATGCGCGCACCTCCTCGATCGACGTGATCCACAGCGCCTCTGCGGCACCGTCGACGCCCTCCGCGCTCGTCGCCTCCGCTCCACGCGCTCCCCGTCGTCCGCTCCCCCTCCCATGCGTCTCTCCTTCCCTCCCTTTCCGCTCAAGCCTCACTCTCTTCTCCTTCCTTCGCCCTCACCCCGCGCCGTGCTGGACGGGAAGGTCGCGCGCATCACGCGTGGGGTGTGGGGCGCGGAACGGGGGATGGCGGGTGGAGGTGGTACACGTGGGGCTGGGGGCAGATGGAAAGTGGGAGAGCGGGAGGTGGAGACCAGCAATCTGGGGGGCCGCTGCACCTGCGCAGTTTGTGGCGGCGTGTTGGCAGGCACTGCACAGCATCGCACCACCGCTATCATACCCTGCCTGCCGCCTCCCATGCTCATCTCGTCCTTCTCCCTGTGACCCCGTCCCCCTCTTCCCACCCTCTACCTTCCATCCCCGCTTCTACTCCTCCCCTCCCGCCCCCCTCCCGTCCCCTCCTCATTCCCCTCACCAGACGAGGTGGTGCAGCGTCTGTCGCCACGTGTGTTAATCTTTTCCCTCGCTCTGTCCTCTCCCTCCCCTCCCTTTCCTCATTCGTTCCCCTCCCCTCTTTCCCTCCGCCAGGCGAGGTGGTGGAGCGCCTGTCACCATGGCAGCTCGCCACGTGTGTTAACCTCTCCCCTCCTTCCCTTCCCTCCTTCCCCTCCGTTCCCCCCTCCCATCCCTCTCTCCCCATCTCCCCCCTGCCAGGCGAGGTGGTGGAGCGTCTGTCGCCATGGCAGCTCCTCTCGTTCTGTCCTCTCGCCTACTTCCCTTCCCTCATTCCCATCCCTCCCCAATTCTCTCCCCATCTCCCCCCTGCCAGGCGAGGTGGTGGAGCGCCTGTCGCCATGGCAGCTCGCCTTCTACGTGGATTTCTTCCGCCGCCTCTTCCGCATCATAAAGATGTTCTTCTACACCCTCTTCTCGGTACACTCTCCTTTATACTTTCCTCTTCCCAGCTTGTCGCCATGCCCGCCATTACAGTCCGCCTCTCCTTTCTCGCTCGCCCTCGCGTGCTCTATCCGCACTAGTTCGCCAGCTGATCGCTAAAGGAACACTGCGCATCACGGTTGCTGTAGGGTGTGTGTAAGGTAAGGGAATGTCGATAGCAACTCACCCTTCTCCACTCTTGTGTACAAGAAAAACCGACTGCTACTCTTGTGTAAAAAGCTGACTGTAATCTTCGTTGGCGCAGAATGACTTCTTCAGACCACTCTTCCCGTTCTCAGCCCTCCCTCCGCCCCTGCCTCCATGACCGCACAGCCTGACGCGGCAGGAGTGAAGAAGTCCAAGGGGAGAGGAGGGGGGGGGCAGGGCGCATGGGGGGAAGCTCTGGGGGCGGAGGGGGTGGGGGAGGGGGAGGCGGAGGAGGGGGAGGCGGTGGTGCGAGGAGGGGGCTTGGAGGGATGAGCAATGTGCGGGGCATTGATCACTGTGAGTGCGGGGCATTGATCACTGTGAGCTGGTGTGTCGGAGAGCCATGCATCGGCATGTGCGAATTCTGCACAGGAGGGATTTAGGGAAGAAGGGATGAGAGGACTCGTGATTCAAGCTTTTCTCTGCCAATAAATGCTTGCCACTTCTTTCACTCGAGCCCTCCCTTCCCTCCTCCCTACTTCCCCCGCCCCATTATCCCTCGTTTGTGGTATTGTGTGCATGTCCACTGCTTCACAATAACACTCCTGCATCCCTTACCTGCCCTCCTCCCGGTCCATGTCTCTCCCTCTTCCCTTTCCGCTTTCCACTCTCCCAGGTGCTTCTGCGGCGGGTGCCTGAGGCCGGTAAGGCACTCCACCTGCTGCTGCTGACACACCAACTTTCATGCTTCCTTTCCCTGCCCTCTTCCCTCTCTTCCTCTCTCCTCTCTCCCCTTTCCCCGTCCCAGGTGCTTCTGCAGCGGGTGCCTGAGGCCGGTAAGGCACTCCGCCTGCTGCCGCTGACACCGCCCCCCCTCAACTCATCTCATGAGATTGGAGCGCGGTGTCAGAGCAGCCACGTGCTCGCCTCATGTGCCACTGCTGCACATGCATGTGCGTGCGTGAAAGCACGCACGCAGCATGTGCTGTGTGGTGAGGCCATGGGCTCGAGTGCGTGAGGGTGGAGTGCCGCGATCTCGCCACCAGCAGCGGGTGTGGTGCCGGCTGCTGGCATTGATGGCTGGGCAGCAGAGTCAACCGCACATGCATGCATGCAGACCCCATTGCACGCATGGCACGGCATCATGCAGCGATGCAGTGGTGCCGTGCTGCGATTATCATCATACCTGCAGCAGTGCGGCCATGCACAGTGTTCATGACGCGGCCGTGGGAAAGCCTGTGAGGGCACCACGGCTGCCGACCCAACGCTGTGGCATGGGCTGCTGTCGCCCAGACTGAGGGGAGCAGGGCTCTTGCTAGGTTTTAAGCCCGTCTGAAAAGTATATACCAAAAAAATGTTTCGTCTGACGTTCAGACGGGGATTTTTTTCTGGTCTGATTTTTAAGACGAAGGAAAAAGCCATGTCTGAAATTTCAGATGAAATAATACTGCTGCCTGTTTTTTTCTTAAATAAATTGATTGTGTACTGTTTTACTTGTATCAGACAGAGCGACACAACCTAAACAGGTTTGCGCTGTGATGCGCGAGAGCGGGAATGGGGCAGTGGGGCAGGTGTTGGCCTGCGAGAGACAAGGGAGTGGGGGGGGTTTGGGTTACGTTCGAGACGGACACGGGGGAAGGGGCAAGAGTGCTGTAGACTTAGGAGATTGTGGGGGGGGCGGGGGGGAATTCGAGGTCGGCTGGCTTTTTTGGGCGGCTGGATGGGTAGTGGGGAAGAGCGAGGGAATTTGGGTCTTGGGGGGCTGAAGCGGGGGGGGGGGGGGGGGGGGGGGGGGGGGGGGGGGGGGGGGGGGGGGGGGGGGGTAGGGGGAAGAGGGAAGCACTCGGTACTTGGTGCCAGACGAAATTGTACGCACTATCTGATTTCTCATATGAAGTATAACACCGAATATGATTTTCCAGACGAAATAAAATGTCTGGTCTTATGGATCAGACGAACTAAATTGCTTGTCTTCAAAGTCAGATGAACTAGAAAAAATAGGTCTGATTCTCAGACCATCAGACCAATTTGGTCTGATAAAGAGAACCCTGGAGGGGAGCGTGGAGGGTGCGATTGATGCCAGTGCTTGGGTTGGTCGATGTCCGAATGAAGATTGCGCAGAAATGATGTGGTTTGAAATATGGTGCAATATTGTAATGAATTTATTGTGGAATGTACTTGCCTGGTTCGCATCCCGTTCATCAAGGCCCTATTCGGGAGCAGCGCAATCAAGAGGATGAGCAGAGAGTGATCCTAATGGCCTGACGAGCCTAATAATAATAATGAGAAATGTTGCATAGCTGTACAGTCTTCTTGATCATGTTTGATCCGCGTTAGGCATGTATCGGAGCAGGCACACAGCAGCCTGCTGGGGGAGACCTCACTTCCACCCTCCGTTAGGCAGTAGGTAGTCTTCGCCGCGCCTTTCGTTCTACGAGCGGCGTGCTGAATGGCATAACTGTAAGCGCGCAGGTCACGCGTAGACGACGGCTTCGAGTGTAGCTCCCCCAGAATGCACGGCGCACTCAGCCTGGTGACCGGCACGGTGAACTCACTGGCAGTCGCGCCACGCGCTGTCCCTTTTGTGCGAGCACGTGGATTTGCAATCAGGGAGCAGCGATGATAACTAGGGTTTCCGGGATGTGACAATGACAACATCCGGGCAGCGATTATAGCAGCTTTAACTTCGTGAATTTTCCATTGTGAATATCAGCTACCGGCCGCACAATCCGCTAATGCCATCGGAAGGCATTGCCGTGACGGCATTGCGTGGCTAGTTAGTGAACTGCCCACAAATTCGCGACGGTCAATGCCCCTCTAGCACATCGCCCATTTACATTTTGTGATGGCTGTCGCGCGCGTTGCTGCGACGCTGCTTATGTTCGCCGCCGCCGCCGCCGCGCCGCTGGTGAAGGGCCCGGCGCGAGCGGGGCGTTAGCGAGAGGAGAGTGGGCGAGCTGATTGGGGCATGGCGGCGAAATGGTTCGCGCGGTGCGGCGCCGGATGACCGTGGATGGCGCTTGAGTGGGAACGATGATGCGTGGAGGGGGTATGAGGTTGAAACGGGCACGAGGGGGGGGGATGTCGTGAGTGATCGTGTGATTAGGGGATTACTCGAACGAAGGCGCTGACAGTGACGGAGGTGACAGTGACGGAGGTGACAGTGACGGAGGTGAAGGTGACGGAGGTGACAGTGACGGAGGTGACAGTGACGGAGGTGACAGTGACGGAGTGGTGACAGTGATGGTGAGAGTGATAGTGCTGATGGCGACGATGTGGATGGGTGGTTGTCAGGGCGGCATTTCCAGCAGGCCGCGCATGGCGGCGACGAGAAGGGGACGCGGCGGCGGTCGCAAAGGGGCGCGCTGGGGGAGGAGGAGGGGGAGCGGAAGCGGGAGAGGAGGTGGGAAGCGACACGGGGAAGGGAGGTGGCGGAGACACGAGGAGTCTCAGTGGGCGGAGAGGCGCGCAGGCGAGGGGAGGGAAGGCGAGGCACGGGTGGGCGACGCAGACTGGCGGATGGGCAAGCCAGTGAGGGGGGCGGTGACGTCAGCAGCGATGGGCATGAGGGCATGCACGTGGGCGCGCGTGAGGGCATGGTGGGCCCTGGGGTGTGGGCGGATGGAGTTAAACGGCACACGCGACGGGCAGGGGACAGATGCTGGAGCCAATGGGAGATGCGCATGTATGTCACGGTGAGATGCATGTATGTCACGGTGAGATGCATGTATGTCACGGTGAGATGCATGTATGTCACGGTGAGATGCATGTATGTCACGGTGAGATGCATGTATATCACGGTGAGATGCATGATGTCACTGTTGAATTCCGCTCCTGCCTGCCTGTTCTCCTGTTTCACCGTTCCCTCCTCGGCTCTTCTCCTCGTCTTCCTGTCTCTTCGGTCTCAAGCCTCACTCACTCATCGATTTTGCTCCGCCCTTCTTCATGGCCTCTGCGTCGCCCTTCTGCATGGCCTCTGCGTCGTGCCTCCCCTCCCCTCGCGGGTGCATGGCAGCGCCCTGACCGCCAGCTGCCGCCATCCATGGCGTTGAGGCGGCGTCTGTCTGAGTAGTACCGTCGCATGCCCGCCGCTGCACGCAGATCCACGACTGGCACGCCTTCTACCGCAAACCGTGAGCCTTCTATTGCAGCCACGTGTAAAAGTAATCTTTTTACATGTCGGAGCGCTGCACGCAGATCCACGACTGCACGCCTTCTACCGCGACACGTGAGCCTTTTCTCGCAGCCTGTGAGCTTTCCGATTCCATGCCTCTGCCGTTTCCAATGCAAGCATTCTCCCACGCCTCGGCCATATCGCGTGCTGTTCCGATTCCATGCGTTCACCGCTGCCATTCCATGCCTTTGCCATTCCACGCATTTC